GCTATTTTCAATCATGAATAAGAATATTTTCTAATTTCTATGCTTTGTTTAAGACTAACTCTTAAATAACTTACACTTCACAAGTACTAAGAGAAACAAAGTTAAAAGAGAGGGTTGAGAATGTTCTTTGTGAATAATCAAAAACAAAACTATGAAGCGAAATGTAGCTAAGACCTGTTATTTAATAATCAAAACCATAATTCTACCCAGGAGAGTAAGAAATGTAGAGAGATGATTGGGTTAGGCTCACGTTTTACAAAAAAAACACAATTTCAAGAGTTGCATGAACCTAACCAGTCCAAGGATTGCATTGTGTAGTGTAACAGAATTAGTGAATTATGTGAATTATAGGAAAGTACGTTAATTCGGCTAGTTATATAATACTGGGGAAATTAGTTACAAAACTAACACTTGTCTCCTTTCTAACACTGAATTTCTTCTTCAGTTTGGGAAATCTTAAATCTTTGTTTTCGGGGCAAAGGTTTTTATTTCCATAAACTGATTGATCTCCATGTGTTATTTAAAAACTAGTTTAGAACACGTTTTATGTTCACTATTTAAGGGGGGGGGGGCGGCCGGTCTGAGCTCCATTTTATGTCCAACAAGAGTACAAGAGCTGAAGTGTACAGAGGGTAACCTGCACACACTAAACCTCAACAGAAACCGGTTTACAAAGTTCCCAATGATAGCTCTCAAGAACCTTCAGGGCCTTCGTACAGTCAGTTTAGGTAAGATTTATCTTTTGCTTAAATACCATTCTTTCAAAAAAACCCCAAAACTCTTTTTTTTACAATATTAAAAATCTAAAAAAATTCTTTAGTATACATACTTTTAAAAAACAATTCATGTATATCTACAATAATGAAGAAAAATTACAGTTTTTTGGAGGGTCAATCTTTAAACCTTGACCAGTTATAAACATTACATGGGGCCCCTGATACGGCCATATTTTCTGTTTCCTATTTTTTGCAAGATGAAATGTTATGTAAACCTTCCAACAAGTTAAATCTGAAGGGAGTGGCAGGATTTATGAAAGGAGAAAATACCGGAAAATACCAATTTATAATATTGTGGAAACCAACCAACAAACCATTTATCAAAGTTTATCTTCCCTTTCTGGTTTATTCTATACTAGAACCTCAAATTATATTTTCAAACATTCTACACCGGTGCTTTAAAATGGTGAATTTAAACTACTTTTTAGTGCAAAAAAGTAAATAGTTTTGGCTTTTGATTTTAAGAGGTTTTATGGAGCTCAGTCGAGACTATAAATACTAAAATTAAATTAAAATTATTAGATGTTTTTGAAGGAATAATTATTGGACTGCCTGCAAAGATATAGAGATTCAAAAATCAGAGTTTGTGGTAAAGACTCAATTCCCATTTAGTAGAAAAGTTCTTGTATTCAAAAGTTTCCATTAGGACTTAAGCTTAACCCTATCAAAAGTTCCCTGTCCTGTCCTATTGAATATGTATATAGAGCAAACATACAAACTAAAAGAAACTATACTACACAAACATGAATTGCTAGCAAAACTTTTCTCCCCCCCCCATCTACCCCCCAGCCCCCCTCCTGTCTATCAACAATTGCATGATAACTGATTATGGTAAAGCTGGAAATAATTTTCAGTTGTGGAGCATTGAAAACTACATACAATGATACATTATACGAATTATGAATAAAATATAAATTAAATATTTTATCTATACTTTTATTTACCCAATTTGCCCAACCTCTAAATAGGAGGGGGGGGGGGATTAATAAAAAATTTATTTTTAAATACAACAATTTTAAAATTGCTCTTTAAAAATTAGTGTCTTTAATTCTTTGATTTCACCTTTTTTTATTAATTTATATTTATAAATCTTAATATTAATGTTGAGGTTTAAAATATCTTTGAAAGATAAGTATGATCGCGACCAATATTAGTTCTATCTGATGTCCTTGTCTTAAGAAATTGTTTTAAAACTGTGTCAATGTTAAACCAAAACTAATATATATACATATAATATTGTACAAGAATCAACGTTTTAAACAGATCATATTCTGCTAAAACGGATCAAATCTAAAAATTAGGATAACCCAGAGTTGCCTAAAGATTTTAGATACGCTCCCATGATAATTTTCATGTAATACTTCTTTTGTAATATATATATATAATCGATAATAAAATAGAACTATTATTGATCGCGATCAACTCATAAAATGTGTAGACTTGAGCCCCCCGTTTATTTTACCTTAACAGTCCCTTTGAAGAAATTAAATTTAATATAAAGAACTAAACTTTTATTTTTGTTAATTTTGTGTGACAACCTAACATGTTTTACGAATGTTCACTCGTCAGAATAAAAAAGATGATGTAAATTTCTTAATTTTGAACATTTTAAATCGACAAAATTTCAAACTTTGAAATAGATTTTAAAACAATCATGCGTTTATTGTCGTTGGCTATGGAATGGTTAAAGGGAGTGTATAGGAAAAATGAAAGGGTGTATGGACTGAAACCTGAACATTTTAGGAGTTGATCAAAACCTATAAGAGTTTAATCTAATGTTCCTGTCTCAAGATACAGAGGGAGACACATGACAATGATACTGCACTGCCATTGGTTGAAGTTCTGATCATGGAATACAGACGTTTCAACTATATTATAAAATATATCTATTAAAAGTGAAAAATTATTAAATTCAAATTATAAAAGCAGCAAACCTGAGTTTTCAGGCCCCTCTCTCGGATCGAAATCGTAGTTTTCAGATTGGTTGCGTATTTGCTTGAATTGAGCTGTTTAAAACTTTATAGATTCTTTTACCAATTCTCACATAAATGAGTTTGGTTTAATTTTGACACAGTTTTATATCAATTTCTCGAGACAGGAACATCAGATAGAACTCTTATAGGTCAACTCAATAAATGCTCAGGTTTCAGTATATGTCCCCTTTTATTTTTCCTTTTTAGTCCATTTTAAGAACAAAACGAAATAAAGATTTTTGAAAAAGGTGTTCCTAGCGCCCTGGAAGCAAAGTATTTTAATATTTATGAAAATAGATTTTTCATATTCCAATTTCGTGATAGCTGTTTACTCCCATTGTTTACCATGTTGAAATTTGAAGTTAGTTCAAATATAATTATTTTTAAAAACTTTTATAAATATTGGCCAGTTAATTGATTGATTGATTGACAGTTATACATTTTTCATATTTTTTTTTTATTTTCTTTTAGTTTGAAAACATTTAAATCTATACAACTGTGGGATAGGTAGACGACATTCTATGGAATCTTATATATCTTTCATGTTAAATTAAAGCAAAAAGTATCTCGAAAATCAACTTATTAAGTAAAATGGGTCATTGTGTAACTGCACAATAGCTGGGTTTTATGTTGATTAGAAATTCAGATTCATAACTTGAGTGAAAAGTCATGAATTCCAGTTTTATGTGTCTCACTGTACTTTTCAGGAAGAAATTCAATTTTCAGGAAATCTTTATGTGCTATACCATAGATTAATTAAAATAACAGATAGGACACAAGATGTCGTCCTTTCAAGATTTAGGGGTTTTTCGTTCACAATAACGCTGAGACAGAAGCCCAAAAGTCTTGTAATTCGACGCTGTCTGCGCGGAACTCTTTTATAGGCTTCTGCCTTAGGGTTATTGTGGACGAAAAACTCCTAAATCTAGAAAAGACGACATCTAGTGTCCTATCTATATTTTTATTAATTTATGCGCACTCTAAGAAGTTTCAAATGTTCACCTAACAAAATGTGTTACAGCACCGGCATTGCACACTTATCTTACCAGAATCATTCGTCAAATTTTGTTAAATGATTCTGCTAAGGTGAATTTGATGCTGTTGCTCCAGCAAATTTAGTTAGATGAAAATTTGAAATTTCTTAGAGTGCGTTATACCTTTTAAAGTGTAATATTTAACCATTAAAACTGCTAATATTGTTACTTTGTGTTTTAGTTTGAGGAGAAACATAAATAAGATTTTACTTATGTTCTCCTCTCCTGACTAATCTCAATAATTAAGAAATTATATTTTGTATCTAACTAATCAATTTTATTTCAGTGGGGAATAGTATTGAAGCTATGCCAGACGAAGGAAACATTATCATAATTAATCTATTAAAAATATAAAACATTTGAAAACAAAAAAAAAGAAATCCTGTTTCTTAATCAACTAAAAAAAATTGCCAGAGCTGGGAACTTTTGAATGGTGGATAACAGGATTAATGCTTGATCCACTCTTTTTCTTAATCTCCAGATTAAATAATGCTTGTTCTCCTCTTTATATTAATCTCCAGATTAATTTACCGATCAGGATTAAGGATATCCCATTCTAAAGTTTTCCGCTCAGATCAAACAGTCATGGTTTAAAATATCAAAGGTTGCAACGATAAGGGATTGGAAAATGAGAGTTTGTGACTTAAAATCAGGTCCTTTGCAAGAACTATGGTTTTGCAATATATTACTCATTGTTGAAAATTATAAAATTAAATTATAAAAATATAACTCGAAATATTGTGCTTTGGACATATTTAAACATCATTCCGGGCCGTAGTAAATTTAAGTTCGAACAGGACCTGCCCAGTTTGAACCGGCCTGCCAGATAACAGCGTGTACTGACCCGATCCTCTGTTACAGTACGTCGCCCTAACCAGACTAACATATGACAGGGGTCAACTTTTTTGACATAGTCCCGTCAGAAAGCTAACTAGGACAACTCCCATGGCGCGTTCAGACTTTTTACAGTATCAGGCCTAATCCTAGGCCTATTTGACCGACCCCACTGGCTTAGTCCACCATGACTTATATATAAGATAGTTTTATAAACATTTTAATTGCACCATACACCAAGCTATAAACCATGATGATGTTTAAACATATATATTAGATGGTTTATAAACATCTGAACAGAACTGAACAGAACTGAACAGAACTGAACAGAACTGAACAAAACTGAACAGAACTGAACAAAATATATATTTCTTATTTCTTTATTTCAGGTTTAAAAACACTAGATTTATCCTCAAATAAAATCAGCGAAGTTGAGATCGGAGCTTTTCATAAATTAGGCAACAAGCTAATTTAACATTTTTTAATTATCTTGTGTTCCCGAGTCATGTGCCATGCACACTTTGTGCTCTCGAGTCATGTGCCATGCACATTTTACGCACTTTAAAAATTGTGAAATCCTCTGATACATGGATTTTATTGGTCCCTTTAGATCGGTATTTTCTCATAAATAGATCAAATGTCAAAAAAAAATACGAAAAACGGATTCGAATTTAGATAATTTAGGCGTGTGTGCAAAAAGTAATATTATATGTATTCGATCCAAGGAATCATCTTGAGATACAAACAAATCTAAACAAATTGAATTTTTTAATCAGAATAATTGAATAAAGAATTCCTGTAAATAGATTACTAGATAGATAGATAGATAGAAACAGAAATGCTATTTAGATACATAGCAAGAAAGAAAGATGTCAAATGGCAAGATAGCTATATATATTCAAAATTAGATTCTAGATAGAAATATAGATCATGACATATATCAATATTTATATCTGGATAGAAATGAAAATGCTATTTAGCAAATATCTTGACTAAAAATTAAATATCTATGTAAATAAGAAAATATGTAGACATTTAAATAAAACCAAAGATAAAAATTTAGATAGTAATCAAGTTCAAAATATAGATAGAAATATTGATAGATTTCTAGTCATATGAATGGACGTCTTAGATACAAATATAGATAGAAATAAAGATAGAAATATAGATATAAATACTAATAGCAATAAAGCTTGAAATAAAGCTGGAAATCTAGATAGAAATCTAAATAGAATTCTAGATAGAAATATAAATATAAATCCAAATAGAATAAAATATAGAAATATAGGCAGAAGTATAGCTAGAAAAATAGATAGAATTATCAGTTGCATTCCTACAGGCCAAGAGAGCAGAGCTCTAGCTGCACTATTTGCAGTGGACTGTGAGAAAGATATGTACACATAGGAGGGAGAGAAGGCCAAGCGGCCCTGAACCCTGTGCTCAATAAGCTAGCCTTCTTTCTTAACAACAGTACCCACGGCCGGGGTACTAAGTCAAGAAATAGGAATAACAAAGAGCAAATATGTCTAAAACTAATCCGGTTTTATACCCACTTCACTTAGCGATAGGAGCCCGTTTTGGAAGGGTCCTGCTCCATAGCTGACAAAAAAGGACAACTCCACATTCTGCATGCAGCGGTGTACACTAAATGCGACTGGGAAACAGTATAACACATGGACAAATGGAGTGATTTTAACAAAATATTCCTGATACGCCACTCCTACAAACCCTTATCCTGATCTCTACTCTCCTCTACCTACCATCTAACCTTCTCACAAACAGTGAAATGAGACTTGAGCACATTTCTCTGTTGGATCCTACAACAGAATTACCCATGAGCGGGTCACTTGATTATCCATCATTGGAATGGCAATGCTCCTTTTATAGGAAAGTAAAAATGTGCGGTTCAAAGCAGGGAAGCTATTGCTCCCTCGCAGCAACTAAAAACTAAATTAAAGTTCTAGGAGTGGTGACCTAGAAAATGCAAATAGACAGAATGTGCAGTGCTGAGGCTACAATTATAATTAAGCAAGACAAAAAAAAAAAAAGGTGGGGGAGATCTATTCAATGAAAGGGTGATAGTGCACTCTCTTATAATGGCGCAAGGACAAGATACTCGTTAACATTCTTTTAAAAGCAGCTCCATAAATGGACAGGCAAAGGGAAGCAAGAAAAAGAGAGCCTGCAGTTCAGACGTTCAGACGGGGAAAGGAGAAAAAAATGAGCATTTGAAATTATTAACTTTTGCCTAGTACCATTTTATTTTATGAAAATTATACAAAAAAAACTACAAAACACTTGTAAAAAAATACATAAGAATATTGATTTCTAGAAATATGGCTAGAAATATAGATAAAAATATAGATAGAAATGTAGATAGAAATATAGCTGGAAACATAGCTAGAAATATAGTCAGAAATATAGATAGCAAAATACAGAAAGAAATATAAAAAGAAATAAAGATAGAAATATTGATAAAAATATAGACAGAAATATAGCTTTAGCTAAATAAAGCTAGAATTGTAGATAAAAATATTGATAGATTTATATATAGAAATATATATAGAAATATAGATAGAAACATATATAGAAATATCGATAGATATATAGATAGAAATATCTATTGAAATAGAATAGAATTAAAGATAGAAATATAGCAAGTAATATAGATAGAAATATAGATAGTATTATAGATAGAAATATAGATAGAACCCACTTTAACAATATAATCACTGTTTACAGCCACTACTACATAATACCCCTAACATTATCATACTTAAAGTATATTCTCAAAACAAATAAATATTCTTAATGTATAAACATACAATCCCTATACTTTGTTGTTATTAGGATTCCTGCATTGCANATCTACTTTTTCATTATTTTATGTACTTTTTCCATTCTTTATCTACTTTTTCATTATTTTATGTACTTTTTCCATTCTTTATCTACTTTTTCATTATTTTATGTACTTTTTCCATTCTTTATCTACTTTTTCATAATTTTATGTACTTTTTTCCATTCTTTACCTACTTTTTCATTATTTTACCTGCTTTTTCCATTCTTTATCTACTTTTTCATTATTTTACCTACTTTTTCCATTCTTTATCTACTTTTTCATTATTTTACCTACTTTTTCCATTCTTTATCTACTTTTTTCATTATTTTGCCTACTTTTTCAATGTTTTACATATCTTTTCAACACTTTTTACATACTTTTTTATTCAAAATTACCCCCCCCCCTATCCCTTCGAATTAAATCAAGACTTGTAGAAAATAAAAAATAAATAAACTTTTCCATTCTTTTAAGGATTGATTTAGAGCTATTTGATTTGTCTGTGGGGGGCCGAGGGGAATATTATTGCTTCTATTGTAGCTGAGAAAGTATAATGAACCTGAATATTAAGCATTGGTATGATTTATTGAATATTAATCAACTATGAACTTTCTATTGTACTTTAATTGGCATACACGTCAATGAAAACATAACAATCTACAAATAAAAATTCAAAATAAAAGTGCTTTTAATTAAATTTGATCAAAAGTTATATTTTGTTAAGTTTCTATACTGAAAAGGATCTGAGTTTTAGCCACAAATTCTGATTCTCAAATCGATTTATCTTTGCAACCTGATGGTGTTAACCTTTGATATTTCAAACTATCATTATTTAATCTAAAATAATTCATAGTTTGAAATATCTAAGGTCTCCGACATTGAAATGCAAAGATATAGGGATAAGAGAGTTAGAGTTTGTGACAAAAATTCAATTCCGTTAAATTTCTAAAAATCTCATGAAGCAAAGGCTTTTTCTCAGTCTAAACCCGAAAAAGTCTTCAAGATATGATTTTTTAAAGTTAATTTTGCAAACACAAATGTTACATTTGAAAAAATATATGTTAAGATACAAATGGCATTACATAAAGTTGTGTCACAACAAATTTAAAGTTTAAAAATTATTAACTAATTCAAATATGAAATTATGAATATGAGTAAAATGTTTTCTGATAAAACTACAGCAATGTTTCTCCTATCATTTGACTTTTTTACAACATTCTTATTGAAATGGGTAAATTTTTGTTGTTTTTGAATACAGTGCTATATGTTCTTTTTTAGTCCTTTAACCAGTTTTATACAAATAATTAGATCAAAATTTTCGACACTAAAAAGGGGGACAAATTAGATATAAAACTGTTTTTTTCTTGAACTATGTTGAGAATACTCAATTACTCATCTCAAATTGATGTACGTTTGGAACCGCTTAGTTCAAAAACTTTGTTTTAAATATCAATACCGACTGTAAATACTTATAATTCAATTGAAATTTGACTTCTTTCAATCTGGGTAATAATATCATCCAAGGTTGGTGCTTTTGTGTGGAGTATCGTTAATCTTGATCACTTTATTTTGAAATCAAATGTGGACACTTTTAAATTTTTGAATTAAGGCTTGATCACAGTTATACATCTCTGCATGGTATACACCACAACAGGATAATGCAAGTGGATATAATTTTGTAGGTCTACATAAGACGGAGATATATCTGACTTAGGAGCGTTGATGTCGCAAACTCAATATACAAAAGTTTCTCTCTCTGATATCATAGATTTTTAATATTTCCAACTAGTAAATTTGCTAGATTAAAATGTCCATTTGTTTAATATTACAAAGGTTTATATTCATAACATTGCACATTAAAAACTAGAGTTAAACTCACTGTAAACACCTGTTAATTTGAAAAATTGAAAGTCTAGTTATTTATCGCAAGTTTTACAATAGAAGGCAAAACATAACTTTGCGCCAAATGAATCATTCCATTTTAGAAAATCCTTTGAAAAATTCTAGTTTTTTTAGCTGAATAAAAAAATAAATGATTTTAGAGGTTTAAATTTTTGGGGAAAAGTATGAATTTTTTTTAAAAACCTGTCTTTTCATATGCCATTTTTATTTTTTCCCGGTAATTTTTTAAAAAATAACACCCCTGAAATGCGTATTTATCAATTCCTGTGTTGAATGCATATATACATTGCTTGTTGGTTTGGTCCAGGTAAACTGGTGACCCTAAGTTTAGCTGAGAATAAGTTGACCAGCCTTCCACCTGGTCTCTTCCTGCACAATACTAACCTAGAGTACATTGACCTGTCTTTCAATCATCTTAGGTCAGTGTTTTCATAAATGATAGTTTATCTTTTATTAAATAATGAATTTTTTTGGGAATAGTTGAATTATAGGGACTGTAAGCGTAATTTTAAGTGCCTGATTGTAACACTACTTTTAAAGCCTTTATTTGATAAAGGTAGGGTGATGACTTTTTTTTTTCTTTCTCGAAAAGGGTTTATCTCTGTGAAGTTCTCAACATTTCTTCTCTCTTATTTTGCAAAGAAGCCACAAATAAGAATAAACATTTTAAATGAACAAAATCCTGCATATCTTATACTTTATCATACTTGATCAGACAAAGCAATGGCAGTTGTAAATCCTGCATATCTTATACTTTATCATACTTGATCAGACAAAGCAATGGCAGTTGTAAATCGGACTTTGCAATCTGGGCATGGAGAGTCACTTTAAATCATGTTTAAAAAAATTACAAATATTTTGGAAAACTATCTATTTTTATTCGAAATCATTAAAAACTTCATACTATATGAAATTAAAATTCTATAAATATGAATAATTGAAACCCGAAAAAATAACGGAAATGTAATATTACATAAAATTATTTTTAAAAATATTTGTTATCATAATTTTGAATATTAGGCATGTGAGCGGTTTGGTGACAGGGCTTCCTTCCCTGGTAGATCTTCGTTTACAATACAATTATATACTTGCCATCAGGTATATTAGGGTGCCACAAAATATCAATTATCAGGTATATTAGGGTGCCACGAAATATGAATTAACATGTATATTAGGGTGCCACGAAGTATGAATAAACAGGCAGATTAGGGTGCCACGAACTATTAATTATCAGGTGCATTAGGGTGCCACGAAATATGAATTATAAGGTATAATAGGGTGCCAAGAAATATGAATTATCAGGTATAATAGGGTACCACGAAATATGAATTATCAGGCATAATAGGGTGCCACGAAGTATGAATAAACAGGCAGATTAGGGTGCCACGAACTATTAATTATCAGGTGCATTAGGGTGCCACGAAATATGAATTATCAGGTATAATAGGGTGCCACGAAATATGAATTATCAGGTATAATAGGGTGCCACGAAATATGAATTATCAGGTATATTATAAGGTGCCACGAAATATGAATTATCAGGTATAATAGGATGCATATATTTTGATATACATTGTGTACATAAACATAAAAAATTAAAAATGGTGTTTCTTATACCAGGGATAAAGGAATAGAATGTATAATGTAGATGTGATACCGATTTATTGGATATATACATCTATATATTGTCACTGAAAACTATAAAACCGAATTGAAGAAGGTCAAATTAATGCAAAATTACTGCTACGACTGTTTGACCTAGTAGCTCCTACAGTTTTCATTTTACTCAAAAACATTAAAAACGCATATTCATTCATTTATATTTTAAAAATTAAAAACAATTCCGTATTCCTCTCACTAGCTCTCGATAACTGATTTACTAATGAAACTTCAATCTTACGTTTAATTTAATTTAATACAGCCAAAGTAATGTTTTTAATATGTGATAACTCATTCTCCTGTTAATAAACGTACTTCTAAGTAAATATATATACAGGGTGTCTCTGAAAAAAAGTGTTTTTTTTTAGACTTTTTAGCTTACTAAATATTGTTTTCGAATGTGCTGAAAAGTGTTTCTGGCAGATACAATATCTACCAATGGTGGGGCGTCGTGGATGACACATTTTTCTCTAAAATGCCATTGAACCTTCAAGATTAGACATAATATTCGAAAATGTGGTAGGTCCCATTTCCGAAGCCATTGATAAAGTTTTCACCCACTAAGCGTCGTTTTATTCTACTACAATGTGTGACCAGTAGGTACAATGTCCATAAATTTGGGGGAAAGTCGTGGTAAGATTATTCTCTAAAATTCCGTTGTAGCCGTCAAAATGTACTTGAAATGTAGATTGGTCCCATTTTAAAAAGATTTTCAAAAAAAATTAAAATCTTTTTTCGTCTTTTAAGTATAAAAATCCTTTTCTATCATTGAAAAGGAACTGAGTTTTTGCCACAAATTATGATTTTACAATAGCCATATCTTTTCAACTTGAAGGTGTAAACCTTTGATATTTCAAATTATCATTATTTGATCTAAAATGATTCAAAGTTTGAAATATCTATGATTGAAATATGATTCAAATGCAAAGATATAGGGATAAGAAAATCAGAGTTTGTGACAAAAACTCAATTCCTTTGCAGATTATTCTATTCTGTCGAAAACAAATTATAATTTGAATTTTTTTAAATCTTTGAAAAGGAGGCTGAGCACATTTTCGAATAAAAAGTCCACTTTTGAAGGTTATATTTTAGAGAAAATGGTTAATTTATGGGTGTATTGTATCAACTAGAAGAACTTTTCAGCACATATAATCGATATTTAGTAGGCGAAAAAGCCTCAAACACTTTTTTCAGAGACACCCTGTAAATTTACTTATTTCCATAATATATTAATCCTATTTGTTTAGTGATGACACGTTCGAGAAAACTGGAGAAATTCGACATTTGCATTTAGAGCATAATGTGATTTATGAGGTGAGTTCTTTATTCACTTTTTCTTCAATAAAACTAAAGAAAGGAAAAGAAAGAAATCAGATTGCACACGACAACAGCTCCTATCCCTGTTTATCCCATTGCATTCTCATCTCAATTTTTAATGCAACGTGGTAAATTTATTTATCAACAAAAAAAATATATTTTTTTTTAAATTCACTTCCTTAAAGGAAAGGCAGACGTAACTTAAAGTTTCCATTCATTTAAAGAGTGGTATATCAGATTAGCAATGGTATCCTTTATAACTGATAATTGAGTAATTGGAAACTCAAGTGTGCAGTGTCCACTTGATATTATACTGCGTGAAAATGGTATATCAAGCGTAATAAGTCCGTGTAGAGAAAGCTAAAATTTCCATTACAAATTAAAAATTACGATTTATGTCTTTAAATCTTCAATGTCTGTCTGCTTGTGTCAAATGAACGTTAAAACGGCTGAACCGATCTTGCCCAAGTTTTTGGTGGCAACTCACCTGACCCCAGGGAAGGTTTATAATTTATAAATTGTTAAAAAGGAAAAAAAATTGTCAACCTTAAAAATGCACCATTTTCAAAAGAAGAATCCCCGAAAAAAAAATGAATAAAATTGCCACTCCAAACCAACAACCTAAAGATCGTTATAATGTTACTAGAAAAGAATGCGTCACGTTATCACCAAAAACTGTTAATAGGTTTAAGTAGTTACATTATTTCTAATAAAGTAAGTTAACCTAAGTGTATGACGTACTATTCTCTTATTAAGTCATTTTGAGTGTATTTTCCCCTCACATTCATATAAAGTGTATTAGAGTGCTAAGCTTATTATAAAAATATTATGAAAGTTTTCATATTCTCATATTCTTATATATCAAATATATTAAATATTTTAGTTTTATACATATATATATTCTATCTTATACATGTATATAATATTATCATAAATATATTAAATATTTATATTCTGTACGCTACGGGCTTTTTACTGAATCCTGAAAAGACAGGGCATCCATTTACCCTCAATTTAAATTATACCTTCTAAATCTTTATTTGATCAATAATGTGGAAGATATTATAATTGAAAAGTTGAAAAAGGGTTTAATCTGCATAACTTCCTGCCATTTTTCTGCATCCCTTATAAAAAAATTATTTAAAAAGATAAACATTGATATTTCCTTCTTTCTTGATCAGATAAAGCTTTTAAGGGATAAATTATGATTTGGACATACCAATATTTGAATAGAGAGTCACTTGAAATTACGATAACAGTCCCTTTAACTTTTATTTTCCAGGTCGGTGATAATGCTTTCCAGTCCCTGAAGAAACTAAGAGAACTGCGGCTAGAATTCAATTTTCTTTCAAAGATTTCAGAATCCTTGCTTCGTCGTAATCTGGCTCTTAAAATACTGTACTTGGATAATAACCAGATCAGGTATATTTCTATCTATCTATCTCTCTATCTATCTATCATCTATCTAACTATTTATCTATCTATTTATCTGTTTATCTATTAACCATCTATGTATCTATTAACCATCTATCTATCTATCTGTTTATCTATTAACCATCTATCTATCTATCTATCTATCTATCTGTTTATCCATTAACCATCTATCTGTTTATCTATTGAGATGCCCCCCTGTATGTATTGGGTTTTTGCCCTGAGTTTGTCTGAATTAGAAGTTTCTTTTGTTTTGTTTCTTTCGCAGACTTCTTCTAGTTTTCCAATATTTAAAGGAAAAGATCAAAAACTTTTGCTTTTCCAATATTTAATAGACTGCTAGGTCTAAAAATAAAAAAAAATGTATTACGTCAGAAAAATGGCCCAACGTTTTCCTTGCATAAGATTAATTTATGATTGCTAAAAAATGCTGTACAATTTCTTTTTTACTTGCTAATTCGACCTTGATATGATCATTTTAATATTTGAAGAAATATCTTTTTTTCTTATCTATTTTCCTGGATTCTTAAAATGCATTTCGGAATCAAATATTATCCTAGACCTAACCTTTAGTCTTTTTTTAAATTGACAATTTAATTTTTTACACATTTTTAGAATTGCCCTTTAATCTTCTACATTTTCCTGAACTCTCTTTTTAATCTTCTACATTTTCCTAAACTCATTCTTTCATCCTCTACATTTTCTCAAACTTTTATACATTTTCTTATTCTAGTTCTTAAATCTTTACATTTTCTTGTTCTAGTTCTAAAATCTTTACATTTTCTTATTCTAGTTCTTAAATCTTTACATTTTCTTATTCTAGTTCTTAAATCTTTACATTTTCTTATTCTAGTTCTTAAATCTTTACATTTTCTTATTCTAGTTCTTAAATCTTTACATTTTCTTATTCTTCTTCTTAAATCTTTACATTTTCGTATTCTTCTTCTGAAATCTTTACATTTTCTTATTCTTCTTCTTAAATCTTTACATTTTCTTATTCTTCTTCTGAAATCTTTACATTTTCGTATTCTTCTTCTGAAATCTTTACATTTTCTTATTCTTCTTCTGAAATCTTTACATTTTCTTATTCTTCTTCTTAAATTCTTACATTTTGCTAGTCTTGCCCTTTAATCTTTAATTTTTTGCTAGATGTGTCCTTTAATCTTTAATATTTTGCTAGATGTGTCCTTTAATCTTTAATATTTTGCTAGATTTGTACTTTATTATCATAAATTTTGCTTGATTTAACCTTTCAGCTTCAATTTTGCGTGATTTGACCTTTAATCTTCAATTTTTCAGGAGTATAGATACCAAAGCTTTCACAGGAGTTCCTAAACTGGAAAAATTAACTTTGCATCAAAACTCTCTCAAGGAAACAATCATAATTCATATTTTCAATATTTAGCCTCTTAGGTTCGGTTGTATAACATCTAGCTCTTAGAGAAGGATTGGTTGTATATCTTCTAGCCCCTAGAGAAGGTTTGGTTGTATATCATTTAATACCTAAAGAAGGTTTTGTTGTATATCAACTGACACCTAGAGAAGGTTTGGTTGTATATCAACTAATACCTAGAGAAGGTTTGGTTGTATATCATCTAGCTCCTAAAGAAGGTTTGTTAGTATATCATCTAGCTCCTAGAGAAGGTTTGGCTGTATATCATCTAGCACCTAGAGAAGGTTTGGTTGTATATCATCTAGTTCCTAGAGAAGGTTTGGCTGTATATCATCTGGCACCTATAGAAGGTTTAGTAGTACATTATCTAGCTCCTAGAGAAGGTTTGGTTGTATATCATCTAGCACCTAGAGAAGGTTTAGTTTTATATCATCTAACACATGGAGAAGGTTTGGTAGTATATTATCTAGCTCCTAGAGAAGGTTTGGTTGTATATCATCTAACACCTAGAGAAGGTTTGGTTGTATATCTCCAGGTGGTTGAGAAGGATCTATTATCTGGATTAACATCTCTTCAAGAACTATCCCTAGAGCAGAATAAGATTACAACTATACACGCTCATGCTTTCAGGAACCGTTCATACCAAAACACAAGCTTATAATGACAGGGACTGTAAGTACAGTTTCATGTGACCTTCCATTTAAATTCCCAATTCACAACCGCACCTTTTAAACCTTTGACTTATCATCGAAGATAGAGATCTCTGTGTATATATCTCTTAAATACTGAGTAAAAACTCTTAAAATTTACGTGTATGTTAGTGTACTGAGTGAATTCAATATAGATGACGTCACATAATATGTCTTATAACGCCGTTTTCAAAGATTTGAATGTGAATATTTGTATTCTGCTACTTCTAGATCTAAATTGAGTATTAATATCCTTTAAATATACAAAAGCTTGTATCAATAATGTTTAACAATTAAAAGAGTTTCTTTAGATGAATCATGAAAAATCCCTAAGCAGTCTAAGGTTTAAAAAGTACTGTTGTTAATGTGAAATTGTGAACAGAATATGTCAATTTACAGAGTCTTTAAAATCTAATCAATCAACTGCAAGAAAGAAAATAAATTTCAAAATTTTAAATCTTTCTTTTCTAAATTGATAAGAAGAGATTGGTGATTTTCTTCCTTTTCAGAGAAAGGATATTCAATCAAATCTTAATTAGAAAAGTTGCCCAGAGGGTAGAGGGGTAGGGTAGAGGAGGTAGAGGGGTAGAGAAGGTAGACGGGTAGAGAAGGTAGACTGGGTAGAGGGTAGAGGGGTAGACGGGGTAGAGGGGTAGAAGAGGTATAGACGGGGTAGACGGGGTAGAGGAGGTAGAGAAGGTAGACGTAGAAGAGGTATAGACGGGGTAGAGGAGTAGAAGAGGTATAGACGGGGTAGAGGAGTATAAACTCTATCAGGATTCAGGGCAAAGTGGGGCTAAATTGAAAAACTGAAAGGAGAAAGTAATATCTGTCTAATATTAGAAGAATCCAGAATATACACAGTGGGAGAACTTAGTCTATATTTCTATCTTTGAAGATATATATCTATCAATATGTTTTTGATTCTAATTTGTGTATAAATCTTTATAAATTCGCGTTGTTCTAATTTTAACAGTTATTAATAATTTGAAATAGTTGATTTGTATTATTTTATTTTTAAAGCTAGCAGTAGCGTTATGAAGAAGGCACTGGCAATATTAAGTAGTAATGAAATTGTCAGAAATTAACGACATTATCGCCCAAACTATATCTCAAATGTAAGTTTATAGGATACGATTGTGAACTGCACATCCCTCTTTATAAGTGGTGTGTCATTAAAGGGACTGTAAGTGTCATTTCAAGTCACCCTCTAATTATGCAGAGCCATGTTCGCTTCACAACGGTACCTCTTAAAACGATGAGATAGATACCCTCATAGCTTGAAGATTGAGTGCTTGAGGTTACAGTGTACACTGTAGCACTCATAGCTGAAGATTGAGTGCTCGAGGTTACAGTGTACACTGTACTCTCCGTGCTAGTGTACACTCGTGCGGTTTCTTGGCACTTAATTTTCCGTTACATAAAATAGAATATCTACAAAATCCTTGATATCAAACAAAAAGGTTTTGAAGGTATTGTTTTATATTAGACAGGCAACTCTATAAATGAAAGGTTAATTGAAATCACGCTTACAGTCCCTTTTCACGAGTAACAGTTTTTCTAAATAAAATAAAATATTGGTTCCTGAGATTTATATAGAACGGTTTATTTAGTTCCTTATCTTCTCTTCAATACCTGAACCTGTCCTCTAATAAGCTGGCCAACTTAGGTAAACATATTCTTTAATCCTTGAGCTGAGAACTTACAAATGGATTGAGAAAGGTAAAATACATCATACCTGGTAAACAGTGGAAATATATTTTTTCTTTCTTTTAATTACAAAATTATTTTCAAAGGAAATTAACACTTGCTACAAACTATAATTTGTTAATATTTCAAACTTTGAATTCTGTTAGATCAAAAAGTTTAAGTTTAAAATATAAAAGGTTTACACCAGTTGCAGTTTGTCCTAAACATTGTTCAGAGAAGTATAATTTTTTACACAATTACAATTATGAAAGAATCTTTAGAGAAATTTTACCATGAAAAGAAAGAAAAAAGACGACTTTTGTCTGGTTACCACTAATCATACATGTCCGATTCGTTAGACATTTTCTAGTTATAATTTAGCTGTGGCTTCCTCGCCTAGCTAGCCTGGGAAATCGCAGATAAATCACAACTGGAAAATGTTTAACGAATCGGATGCAAGATTTCACCAATGAGAGTCTGGTTAATTCTTAGGAAAGCATGAGTTTTAATCATTACATATTTTCAAAAGTTTCCAGCTCAATTGTTTATAAATGTTTGAAATATTTCTAAAATCAGTTCCTGATCGTTTTCTCTATTTATCTAAATGCAATCACGCCAATCTAAAACTTGCATGAACCATATTATGCATATGCATTAACTCGAACCGTCCAGTCTGTCAAACAAGTCTAGAGTCGACCCAGCACGATGCCATTATGGGAAAATGGCAAAAACTAAGATGATAGTTTTTCCTATGTTTGTTTAATAACCAGAAGATAACCCACAAGCTAGTGTCGATAACGAAGAGTGATTAATTATGGTCTTTATCAACTTTATTATAAAGAAAGAAGAATTTTATTTGAAAATTTTATATCGATGCCCACCTTCTGTAAAACCACTCAATCAATACACACCACACCGGAGCTCGGGGAGTTTACAGTTTGCTCAAAGTGTAAAACTAAAATTCAAAACAAACAAACCTAAAATTGTAAACAAACAAGGACATTAAAGATTGAAGCAGTAAACAAGTAAATTGACCAATAATTTAAATCAATATTAACTTGGAATATAATAATATGTTTAATACAGATATAAACAAATTTTGCCTGGCAATTAAGTTTTATACGTCAAACCGGCAGCTCCGATTGGACCCTATTTTTTTTGTGGCAACGGAAAATAAAATAATCTTGATTTTCAAAACTTTATCAAAATCTGCGAATGAATGCAGCATTATTCGCTATGTTGTTATTGCTGTTTTTGTCAAAATGTACGAAGAAGAAAAACCTTCTAATACATTTAAATTATTACTAACAATAATACAATATAAATTTATATATATATATATTAATTCTATATTTTATATGTAATATATCTCATTCCTCGTTGATTTTAAATTGTACCATTATAATTGTGTACGAATAAATAGAATAAATAAAAATAAATATTTGAATATTTAGATGATGTTATGATGAGGTACCCATCCTCCCTCTCCTCTCTCTACATCACGGACAACAAGATTATCTCCTTCAACGAGGCAACCTTCAGTGGACAAACCACATTAGGGAACACAAGCTACACAACCTCATTGTGGTATAGTAGTGGTATGGTGGTGTGTGGTATAGAGGTAACCAGAATGCAGTGGAAAAGTTTCGTCTTAATTTCTTGGATTTTTGAAATGTTTCTAAAGACATTGTTGCGACTATATGATATTAGTCCAACAATGTCCCCATGCACATTTTCAGAAATATTTCAATTAGAACTATTGCAAGTTTCAAAATTTCTGGTTTCCACTAAATATGTTTTTGTTAAAGTACGTGTTATTATATTACTGTGTTGGTGTGTTGAGTTGTGTGGTATTTTGTAAATTTTTTATTCTGTGGTATTTAATGAAAGTGGTATTATGTAGTCTTTATATAAATGTGGTATTGTGTGGTACTTTATAAATGTGGTATTGTGTGGTATTTTATTAATGTGTTATTGTGGAGTATTTATAAATGTGGTATTGTGTGGTATTTTATAAATGAAGTATTGTTTGGTACTTTATAAATGTAGTATTGTGTGGTATTTTATAAATGTGGTATTATGTGGTTTTTTATAAATGTAGTATTGTGTGGTATTTTATAAATATGGTATTGTGGTGACCTAATCTTCTAATTTCAAGTTTATAAAGTTGTGAAAGCTTATGTTCTCTAGAATTAATTATGCTCGGAAACAATAAAATAGAAAGTATCACGGAGAAACTATTTGCGGAGCTAATAAACCTATTCCGTCTAAACCTTCAGAACAATCGGATAGATAGGATAGATGACGGAGCTCTGGGTCACTGTGTTCAACTCAGGTTCCTAGATCTCAGCTTTAACCGTATCCTGGAGATAGGATCTGGAACCCTGGCAGGTTTAAACCAGCTGGAGGAGATGGATTTAAGTAATAATAAACTTGAAAGTATAGAACGAGGAGCATTTCAGTCCCTGCACCATTTAAAGCTTCTAAACCTAGCTGGGAACAAACTAGCAACCATTGGTGAAGCTGCGTTCTTAGGTTGCCATGGTGTTCAAACCCTCATCCTTCACAGCTCCATGGTGACCCAGATACAGGCAGGAGCCTTTAAACCATTCACTAGTCTCACCCACATAGATCTGAGACACAACTCTATATCTGATATATTAAGTTGGATGGAGATGGAGAACCTTCCCCGAGTTCAGACATTTCAATTTTCCGGCAATAATCTGCACAATATCTCCGCCCTGATAAGCCTAGGTAAACTGCCTAGCTTGGAGCAGGTTGAACTAGAGAACTGTAATATATCCCACCTCAGTTCCAGTCTCATCTCAACCAACAAGAACCTCAAGATTATCAAACTAGGGAAGAACTTGATCTCCCATCTGCCCCCAGAATTCTTTAGTAAACAAGTTTTTCTTCAGAGTCTCAGGAAATCATTTATATTCCGGCTTGAAAATACAATTTATAAACAAAGCTACAGGGTGTCCCAATAAACATGGGAATAGAAGACGGCTTAAGTATCGTCTTTGATTTCCGATAATTGATAAATAGCATTAAGTGCATCAACAAAAGATTGAAAATCTAATGAGCTTTCCAAAATTCGGTCTACCCTCTTTATGTCTTGAAAATTGACCGAGATATTTAATATTTACTTAGTTTTGTCTATTTTTAATAAACTGGAATCTGGACAAATTTCCTTTTATTTTCGTCAATTTTGGAGGTGAAAAAATGGCAAAACACATTTTGGAAATCCCAAGGCTCGTTATTGTTCGTGTTAAACCTTTTAACTTTAAAACTACAAAATAATGTTTACAAAATAATCCCGCATGGAACAAGGCGATATAGCGGTAATAAGTTAATTCCCATATGTGAATTGGGACACCCTGTATAGTTTAAGGCTGAACAGGGTTAGGGTTAGGATACTATATATATATATATTCAGTCTTCTTTTGGGAATTTAGAATAGATAAATTTAAGTAAAGTTTACCGCAAAAGTATTTTAAAACTTTACCTTCAGATTGGTTGAATTACCGGGTAGTTAACCTAGTTTATTTTATACATAAAACAAGGATATAAAAGCAAATTGCGCTAATTTGATTAAAGAGATAAGTCAAAAGAAAATACTTTAATTACATGTTGTGCAGTAAATGCCAAGAACATGTCGATGTTGAGATGCTAATCTCAATTTAAAGACACGACAGTTTTTCAAAATGGCAAGTACCCACATTTCCAGATTTCCTGGCTTATCCTGTTTCTAAAGACATTTTAAAAATAGACATTTTCAAAATAAACATTTTTAAAATAAACATAAGGGAAATGGACATTCGGAAAATAGACATAATTGAGAAATAAACACTTGGGAAATAGACATTTTAGAAATAGACTTTTTGAAAATAGACGTTTGGGAAATGCAATTGGGAAATTAGTAAAAAAAAGGTAATTGCTTTGTAAATGTATTTATTTCTTTATAAAGGTGAATATAAATGGTTTGGATATAGTTTGGACATGAACCAGTTCAACACTGTACCTGGAGATAGTTTAAGATATCTCTTCAACCTAAAGGAACTAAACCTATCCTCAAACCTGCTCACAGAACTCACAGACTCAAGTTTTGACGAGGAATAGTCATCTTTTTAAACCAACTAAATTGGAAACCAGAATATTTGCCTCGAGTTTTCAACCCACTCAATTAGAATTTTAAAACCTGACCAGAGCTGGGAACTTAAGAATGGATAACCTTTAATCCCAACTACTTAATCCGAAGATCAACTGTGGAAACTTTTAATTTTAGTCCTTAATCCACTCTTTTTCTCTCTCTTTGGATAACCGTACATTGTTTTCTCCAATTAGATTACAGGAATATAGTTTTTAAATTGTATTGACCAATGAAAGCCTTGAAAATAAATTCTATTCCATGAGAGAAATCTGCAATTTCTAACAAGTAAAGAATATGTTGTCGGCCATTTTGTAAATTAATCGGTGAAGAAAAATATTTAATAATACGTTTGAAATTCTTTTTTAACCAATTTTAACTAATGTATCTATAAATAAACGGGTGAGAAATTAAGTGAAGGTCCTTCCAGTCAAGAAAAAGAGAGAATTATGCATTACTCTCGATATCCACCATTCTAAAGTTCCCAGCTCAGAACATTTCCATGGTGCTACAAATAGCGATTACTGTTTATCATAAATATAATTACTGTTAAGGAATTGAGTCTATATCTTTGCAAATCAATGTCGTAGACCTTATTACAAACTAGGAATTCCATTTCACAAAAAATCTAACTTTTATATATCTAAGGTTTACACTATCTGGTTTCAAAGATAAAAGGATTTTATAATTTAAGTTTGAGAAAAAGACTCGATTTCTTTAGTGGATTTATTAACCCTATCCCTGCTGGGGTACTTGAAAACCAGGATACGCTGGGGGGGGGGTCAATTTGACCCCCCCCCCCCTCTAAATCCCATGTTTTATGTCCAAATATGACAAATGATACATCATTAGAAAGCTCTTGTGCTCTACGAAAATTGAATTTTTTATCGCAAAATCCAGTTTTATAGTAAAAATGTTTGCAAAAAAAATTTGTCCAAAAAATGGCAAATTATACATTTTTGAAAAGCCCTTGACCATGCCATTTCAAATATGTGCAAATTTCCTTTGACAGGTTGTTTGCAAAAAATTTGCAATTTTTTTTTCTCGCAAAACTTGTGCAATCCGTTTCCTTATGTCATAGGCTTTCCAAAAAGCTAAATTTTATCAAAATCTGATAAGTGAAAGTGGGTCAAAACAAAGATTTAGTTTGATACAGGCAAAAGCAGTCATTCAGGCAGTGTGCCTGAGGACTCAGGCAGTTAGTATTAAAGCCCGGTTTTAGCCCTAAAGGGAGGGCTTTGGGTATGTAAGAAAAGTCAGAAAATTTCAACAGCCTCAGACCAATACTTTTTGAGTTATGTAAAAAAAACTACAGGGGGGGTCAAATTGACCCCCCCCCCCCCAGAAGGAATAGGGTTAATATTTCCGTATTTTGATCTGGCCATTGGGTCAAAATAAGGAGTGCTTGACTTTGATTTATTCAAACAATTCGATACATAAATTTTTAATAATTAAAGTCAACAGTTACTATTAGAAAACCGGATTTTCTACCAAACTTCCGACATTTAAGGTTTTGCACGTTCTGGTATAAAAAGGCAAACCTTGACATTAAAGTTTTTATAAAGACATTAAATTGTATATTTAAAGTTTTTAAAGAAAATCAAGGTTTAAAATAAAATATTAATTTTATTTTTATTGTTCCCGTTTTGACATTTCTTCCTTGTCAGAAAATGGTTTGCAAAATGGTTTGGTTTGGAAAATCAAAGTTCCGAAAAAAAGGTTTGGTTTGGACAATTAAGATTTCAATTTGGTTTGGTTAGAATATTTAAAGATGATTAAACTACAGGTAACTGGACTCACATCTCTAGACATATCTGACAATAGGATCCAGACCTTTTCTCACAGGTATTGAAAGGGAGTGTTCATAAAATTAAAATGGGGGGTATTGATAAAATTAAACAAATATACTGCAATTACGATCGGTGATATCTTAATTTCTATGTTTGTCCAGTCCTACATGCGCCTTTACTTCGTATGTCCTGTCCTTTGATAGTCCTGTCCAACGTTTGTCGTCCAGTCTTTCCTTTGTCCTCTATTCGTTTGTCCTATCCTATGCGTGTCTTGTCCTTCCTTTGTTTTGACCTACGTTTGTCTGGTCCTGTGTATTTACTGTCTTTGGTTTGTCCTGTCCAATGTTGGTCCAGTCCTAACGCCTACATTTGTCCGGTCCTAAGAGTTCCATGTCTTGCCTTTTTCCTGTCCTTTGTTTGTCCTGTCCTACGTTGTCCAGACCAATGTATTTAATGCCCTAGGGTTGTCCTGTCCAACGTTGGTCCATTCCTAACTCCTATGTTTGTCTGGTCCTAAGAGTGCCTTGTCCTACCTTTGTCCTGTCCTTTGTTAGTCCTGTTCTACGTTTTTCCGGTCCTATGTATTTACTGTCCTAGGTTTGTCCTGTAAAACGTTGGTCCAGTCCTAGCTCATACGTTTGTCCGGTCCCAAGAGTGCAGTGTCCTTCCTTTGTCCTGTCTTAGGTTTGTCCTGTCCTACGTTTGTCCGATCCTATGTATTTGCTGTCCTAGGTTTGTCCTGTCCAACGTTTGGCCAGTCCTACGTTTTTCCAGTCCAACATTTGTCCTGTTATACATTTGGCTCGTCCTAAGTTTGTCCTGTCATCCATTTGTCCAGGTCTACCTTTTTCCATTACATTGTTCGTCTAGTCCTACATTTTTTTTCCAAAGCTAATATCTATTTACCTTGTTTAAGATGTTTCCACAATGCTACCCGGTTGAAGGTGTTAAATCTTGGTGGGAACCTTGTGTCTGAGTTCCCCAGTACAACCTTCCTCCCCCTCACCAGCCTTCATACCATAGCAGTAGACAGGAACCAGCTCAACTATATACCTATAGCACTACAAGGTAACATAGCAGTGGGCAGGAACCAGCTCAACTATATACCTATAGCACTACAAGGTAACATAGCAGTGGGCAGGAACCAGCTCAACTATATACCTATAGCACTACAAGGTAAACATAGCAGTAGACAGGAACCAGCTCAATTATATACCTATAATGGGTTGAAAGGTCTGTTGTGCATTCGAATCCAGGATTTTAAGTTTTTTTCTAAGAGAAATGGATCTTTTATTTTTGTGAGACAAAAGACACAGTCTAAAATTCCCAGATTTGATTAAATTCTTGATAATATTTGACTGGATTTTGACTTAAACTGTCGCTTATCAATCTAAAAAGTGTCTAGATAGATATGTATAAATATGAAGAGAAAATAAAATTTCTTCCGAACAATTTCTTGCAATTTGAATTTTTCAAATTTGGCTGAAAACGTTGGTCATTACGTTTAGTTCATAAAAAAAGGATTACATAGTTTACATAGTTGGGGCTTAATATACAAATATATATTTTGATATATTAAACCCCAGGCAAAGGAAATAAGTCTTTGCCACAGATTCAAATTTCTAATACCTATATTTTTGCAACCCAATGTCGTAGACCTTAGGTATTTAAACTGTGAATTTTGAATCTTATGTAAAAAATTTATTTTAGTTTAACGTGCTGTCTTGTTAAAATGGTTGACTATGGTGTTATAAAGCCAGGGTTTATTAATAATAAACAATTATATTCTAGAAATGGTTGAGTAATATTTATTGTCAGGAAAAGCTACCAAATAATGTTGAGAGGGGAATATGAAATATAAACATGGAATTCTTATTTATAGGTCAAGGCAATAGATCATTCGAAGGTTTTAGTCCAAGTGTTTAGTCCAAGTGTTTAGTCTAAGTGGTTAGTCCAAGTGTTTAGTCCAAGTGTTTAGTCCAAGTGGTTAGTCCAAGTGTTTAGTCCAAGTGTTTAGTCCAAGTGTTTAGTCCAAGTGTTTAGTCCAAGTGTTTAGTCCAAGTGTTTAGTCCAAGTGTTTAGTCCAAAGTTTCAGTTCAAGGGTTTAGTTCAAGGTTTTAGTTCAAAGGTTTAGTTCAAAGGTTCAGTTCAAGGTTTTAGTTTAAGGGTTTAGTCCAAGTGTTTAATTCAAGGGTTTAATTCAAGGGTTTAGGTAAAGATTTAGTCAAAGGTTTAGTCAATGGGTTTAGTTCAAGGGTTTAGTCAAAGGTTTAGTTAAAGGTTTAGTCAAAGGTTTAGTCACTCGGTTTAGTTCAAGGGTTTAGTCAAAGGTTTAGTCAAGGAGTTTAATCAAAGGGTTTAATTAAAGGTTTAGTTCAATGATTTAGTCAAAAGGTTTAGTTTATGGGTTTAGTTCAAAGGTTTAGTTTAATGATTTAGTTCATAGGTTTAGTTTAAGGGTTTAGTTCAAGGGCTTAGTTCAAGGGTTTAGTTCAAGGGTTTAGTCAAAGATAAAGCCAAAGAATTTAGTCCAAGGAATTAGTTAAACTATTTAATTAAAAGGTTTATTCAGAGGATTTACTTAAAGGGTTTAGTCAAAGGGAATGGTTTAAATATTTTGTAAAAAGAATTTGTCAAAGGGTTTTTTTTAAGAAGGTTTACACAAAGGGTTTAGTTCGAGTGTTTTGTAAAAAGTTCAAATTCCACGGTTAAGTCAAAGGATTTAGTCGAAGGTTTAGTCAGAGGGTTTACTTAAAGGATTTAGTCAAAGGATTTACTCAAAGGATTAGTCAGAGGGTTTATTTAAAGGATGTAGTCAAAGAATTAGTAAGAGGGTTTATTTATAGGATTTAGCCAAAGGTTTAGTCTGAGGGTTTAGTTAGAGTGTTTTAGAAAATTGCAAAATGTACAAAGCCCTTTTTTATGAAAATTTTAACTAAGATAATATTTTCTAAAGATTTCTTGAATCCTGAATCTTAAATCTTGAATCTTGAATCCTGAATCTTTTGAATCTTGAATCTTGAATCTTGAATCTTGAATCTTGAATCCTTAATCTTGAATCTTGAATCCTTAATCTTGAATCTTAAATTTTGAATATTTATTATACAAATGGAGTACCGTCTGCAAAGCATCCATAATGATATTGTAGGGCGGGCCGCGTCAGTTGTATCTTCTTTTCTATTCCATACTCCTTGGTTTCATAATCTTTACCATATTATTAAAAAACCAAGAGACTAAAGAGTTTAAGATCGTCATTGAAATCTCATGTTTTGTGGGTATCCCTGTACATGCACTTGTTTTTTAGGTAGATACTATCATTAAATGTATATGTATATAGTACATACACACTACAAATATTGATATTGTGTACAACTTATTTGTTTTATTTATAGGGTTGAGAAATGTCACCCACATGAGACTAGGAAACAATCCTCTAGTCAGATTCAGGAACAAATTACAAAAATTACAAAAATAACAAATAAAAGCAAAAAAAAAAAAAACTAAAATAATGAAATAAAAAATCGTAGAAAAGCATCAATTAAAACAATGATTATGTAACGGATTAAGAAATAAATTTTTATTTATAAAAAAGAAAAAGTTTGTAAAAACAAATATCTATTCAGGGTTCACTTTTATAACATAAGCAGGATGTAAGATCATGTGACTTTAAGTGAGTTAACAGCTATACATGGTACAGGGTGTCCCAATAAACATGGGAATTCAGTGACGAATTCGATATCGTCTTTTTAAATAATGCTTTGATTTAGTATTGTGAAACCTACTGAGAAAGCTGTAATCTGTAAGAGTTTCGTCTGCTATGTTCACATTTTGTTTGTTTATGTTTTGCCTGTATACGGTTGTACTTGATAAAACAAGAAAATTGCAGTATATACACACAGTAAACTTGTCCGTCTTCACTGTTCATCTTGCGGAGACATTATATACACATCTTTACAGTCTTTTACCTTTTTCATAAAATAAACTCCAGCAGACATAATAATATTATGGCTTTTGAAATTAGGTATTACAATGCTAATTCATAACAAAGACGATATCCAATTCGTCACTGAATTCCCATGTTTTTTGGGACACCCTGTAGTTGAACTGAGAGCGCAGAATTGTTGAGAAATTAGGATTTATTTGAGACCTATTATAAATTCTAAAAAATATCTCCACAATACTACACTCTCAGCTCAACCACCCGCTCCCTCCCGCTCCCTCCCTTTAAAGGAGAGACACCTAGAGACCACTTTATGAACCTTCTTGTACTTATTCTTGTACTTATTCTTGTATTTGGAAACACAGAGAAATGTCGAGTTCATCTGGTTCAATGTCCACTCTTCATCATTTACATATCACAGGTAATAAACTAAACTTAGATGCCTTTAACCCTACTCCTGCTGGGGGGGGGGTCAAGGGGGGTCAATTTGCCCCCCCCCCCTGTAGGTTTTTTTTTACATAACTCAAAATGTATTGATCTGAGGCCATTGAAATTTTCTGACTTTTCCTAAATACCTATTGCCCTACCTTTAGGTCTAAAACTGGGCTTTTATACTAAATGCCTAGTCCTCAGGCACACTGCTTTTTCCTACAAGAAACTAAATCTTTGTTTTGACCCACTTTCAGTAGTAAGATTTTGATAATTTTTAGCTTTTTTGAAAGCCTATGACATAAGGAAACGGATTGCACTTTTGCAAAGAAAATTTTGCAAATTATTTGCATACAACCCGTCAAAAGAATTTTTAACATTTTTAGTTTTTCTTAAATACACACATTAAAATTTTGCAAATATTTTTGCATATTTAAAATGGCATGGTAAAGGGAGGGGAGGAAGGCCATCCACAACAATTTATAGTCCGAGCCACATTCTCCTCATTTTCTCGTCCGAGCTACCTCGAAATCCTCGTCCTTCGGATATTATCTTTATAGAGTGTTCAATTCCCCAAGATAAAACAATTTTTTAAGAATCGGGTCACGTTAGGGCATAAACGAAATATTAAATTTTTATAAATCGAAAGAAATACTTTCAATAGAATTTAAGTTTTTGAGTACAATGTTCTGAATAATATTTACCTTTTGTACGCGCATTTTCAGATAATCTTGGTGTGGAATGTCGCAAATCATTCCAAGTTTACAGAATCTTTTTTTGTTAATTTTAGCGAAAACCATAGACTTTTTTGGGGTGGTTCCATGGGGAAAATTATAGGCAGAGGTATGGCGAATATTTTGCTATTTATTTTGTATGGAGGCAGAAGAGATTTAAAGGAGTTGAGTTTTTGTCACAAAGTCTGATTTTCTAATCTCTATATCTTTGAAACCCAATGTCTTAGACCTTAGATATTTCAAACTATGAATACTTATAGATAAAATAATCTAAGTTTGAAATATCAAAGGTTTGCACCAAAAGATTTCAAAGATATTGGAATCAGAAGATTTTAGTTTGAGGCAAAAACTCAATTCCTTTCACCTAGATAAAGTTTGACATCATTCTCACGGCTTTGAAGATTCCAACATGATGTAATCATTGCAATACTTTAGTCTATCCATATTGTATGCCCTAACGTGGCCTGATTTTTAAAAGATAGCTTTATCTTCAATAATTAGAAACGTAAAAACAAATAGTAAGCGAAGGACGATGATTGCGAGGTGGCTCGGACGAGAAAATGAGGAGAATGTGGCTCGGACGACAAATTGTTGTGGCTGGCCTTCTTCCCCTCGTCAAGGGCTTTTCAAAAAAGTATACTTTATCATTTGTGGACTGGGTTTTGAACAAAAAATAATTCAATCTTTGCATATTTGTAATGTTTTTGCAGATTCTAAAAGTAGGATATATGATCATCAAACATCAAACATTGGATTGTTTTCAAGTACCCTAGCAGGGATAGGGTTAAATGAACTGTAAGAATGATTTTTGAGTGATCTTTAATGCAAAAATTGCAATGCCCGATTTAAAAACTTAAGAATCACAATTTGGCAATTTTTTAAATTATTTATTTTAAACATTTGCTCTTCTTACACTTTGTCAAATTCTACCTTGATAGAAGATAAATGCAGAAAACGTCCCTTAAACGATCCTCTCCGAACGATCCTCTCCAAACATGTTGTAAAGATCGCTTTTTGATCCTTCTCCATTGTTTTTATAGGATAAAGGTATTGCAATGGTTGATAAAGCAAACTTAAGCATACTACAGTTTTGAACTCTTGGATTTTTTAATATTTTTTTCATACAATGCAAAACGATTCACAACATTAGGAACAAGTATGACAGAGATAGATGAAACAGATATCACTCTTTGTCCAAACCTTCTTTCTCTTAATCTCAGGTAGAGATAGATATTAATCAATTAATCAATCAAACAAACATAGATTTTCGAGCAAAGCTGGATTTCCAAACTAGTGAATCATATCATCATTAAAAAATGGATTAAATATGCATGCAATCAAGAAATTGTTTTTTTTTAAATGCGTAATTTTGACATTGGCAATATGTAAGCAAATATTAAATCCATTTTATAATTGTTATTTCTAGATAAAACTAGATTGAATCTAAATAATTTAATATTATCTAGTTTAAACCAGATTTTACAAAAAAATTCCATTTTTAACTTTATTTTGTTTAATAAAATCAATATTTTCTAGTTCTTATATCATATAAGATATAATAAAGTATTTATGGGTTCTAACCAGAACTTTTTAAAACTATGAATTATTTTCAAGAACTCATCAGATTATTTTCAAGAACTCATCAGATTATTTTCAAGAACTAATCAGATTATTTTCAAGAACTAATCAGATTATTATTCAAAAGAATTAAATATAGTTTAGTTCAAGTTCAACCAGAAATTGTTTTTTAGTTATAAATATATTTTTGTAAAAATAAATGAACGGTTTTTTTCTAGTTCCAACTGGATTTGGATTAAAATTAATTAAGTATTATTTAAAGGAATTGATTCTTTGCCACAAACTCAAATTTCTAATCCCTATTTCTTTACAACTTGATGGTGTAAACCTTTGATATTTCAAATAATATTTAATCTATCAGTATTCACAGTTTGAAATATTTAAGCTCTCCGACAATGGGTTGCAAAGATATAGGAATTGGAAAATCAAAGTTTGTGACAAAGACTCAATCTCAAAATGTCTTTTTTTTCAACCAGATTTAGTTAAAAATAATTTTCTATTTATCTTATTAATCAGATTTTAATTTAAAATAATCAAATATTTTTCAGTTCCAACCAGATTTCTATTATACGCCCTGGTGCCTTCAAATCCCAGGGATAACATCAACTACGCTTATTTAAGTTTAGGCAAAAAGGGATTCATAAAAAGAAAGTTAGATAAATAGAGAAAAAATTAGAAATGAGAAAATAGATTTTAATATAGAGAAAGAAAGGTTTAACGTTTTTCACAGATAATTGATTTTTGGCAGAAATATGTTTGTTAAACTTTTAAACCGTGGGTCACACATTAATTTACCAGTTTACAAGTTGTCACCCTAGATATCAATTTGACAAATTAAACAAACTTTTTTGTTTTTTTTTTCTCTTATGCATTTTTGAAGGCCGATTGGTTTTAAATCAAACGGTATAAAAACGCTGTAACTTTGTTCCTGATCGGTTGGACTCATTAGGTAACTTTAATTTTATAACTAAAAACTGAACAGGTTTTTGGTTCAACACCGAAATAAATTCAGTTATTTAGCGACGCTTTGTCAAGCTGTAATTGACCATTTTTGTTTTTTGTCTGAAATTCAAAAAAAATACACAATTCACGTAACACCTATGGTTTAGGTTGGGCTAGGCATAAAAATTGACAAAAATATGTTTAACGTTTTTTTATTCAATAATTCATGTTTCAAAGTAATTTGTTTAAACATCAAAGTTCTGCCAAAACAAATTGCAACGACACAAGGTTTAGAAAATTAGAGTTTGTGGCGAGTGTAATGTTTCTTACGGTTGTCAAATCACATTAAAGATAAAATGTATGGAATTGTTATGTGTTTCATCCCGGTCTATTGGATTGTAAAACTAGTAGGCTACTTGCTGGAATATAGGGTTATCCATATTAAATTGGATTATGCATAATGAATTCTCTACTAGGAATGCTTGAGTGAGCAAAAAAAAATCAACATTTGATTTTTTTAAAGATTTAGATTTTTGATAATTTGAACATTGTTGCGAAAGAGTTTAAATGAAAAATACGACAATGCTACGTGAATCACCCTGTACAATAAGGTCCTGCGGGACTCGTGTGTTTAGAATACAAAACACGACGATGTTTCATGAACCACCCTGTCCAATAAGGTCCTGTGGGATTCAGTGTGTTTGGAATACAAAATGCGACTATGTTTCATGAACCACCCTGTACAATAAGGTATTGTGGAACTCAGTGTGTTTGAAATACAAAATGCGACTATGTTTCATGAACCACCCTGTACAATAAGGTACTGTGGAACTCAGTGTGTTTGAAATACAAAATACGACAATGTTTCATGAATCACCCTGTACAATAAGGTCCTGTGGGACTCAGTGTGTTTGGAATACAAAATGAACCGACTCTACCATTGTTCATACATAAACTACATTTCTTTTAACAAAATCCAGTGCATTAATTCCACTGCACTTCTCATGCAATCTAAGATACTGCTTTCTTTGTTAAGAATGAATAAGTTTAATCAAAATTTTGTAGAAATTAGAAAGATAAATAAGTTTTAAGCTTTAAAAGCTCTAAATTTGAAGGATTAAACCAGTAAAAGTATACTTATGATAACTACGTAAAAGTATATGGAAATCATAAAATAAGAAAGGACAATTAAGACAAAAATTAAAGTAGCAAATGATGAGAAAAAGTTAAAAATGAAAAGCATTTAAAGGCAACCCTTAGATGAATAAATTTAAAATAAATAAATATTTATTTGAATAGACTAAACTAGATTTCAGTTTCAATGTTTACTTTATCTTTTTACAAAAAAAAACATTAGGTAAAACTTCATAAACATTGTTCAACTGCACATTTTCAATTTTTCTTTAATATAAAAAGAAGAACTTTGATTCTTTTTAATAATTAATGTTTTTATTTATAAAAAGGTGTTCTAAGCCTTTGACGGTAGAATGAAAAGATGAATAAAACATTAAAACATGAAGTTTGAAGAAACGAAAGAAAAAATATTTATTTTTAGTAGAAAAAAGACCGATCCTGATTTCTTTTTAAAAGAGTTTGATCAAAAGAACTAGTAAACAAATATATATGAAGACTCAAAATGAGAAGTATAGGATAGAAAACTGGAAATGAATAATAATTGATGAAATATAATGGATTTTATGTTTATAAATATGGTTAACAATCCCTTGAAAAAAGTACAAATATAAATATAAAGATGCAGAATGAGAAAATAGGATAGAAAACTGGAAATAAATAATAAATGATGAAATATATTGGATTTTCTGTTTCCAAATATGGTTAACCATCCCTTGAAAGAAGTACAAATATAAATATAAAGATGCAGAATGAGAAGTATAGGATAGAAAACTGGAAATGAATAATAAATGATGAAGGATAGAGGATGATATTGAACTTGTGTTTGATGTTGAATAGAAAGATCTTGTAAAGCTGGATCTACAGCTCAACCAACTTATTCGTTTACCTGGGCTCAGTCTTCAAGGATTAGTCAGTCTAGGTAATATATTAATTAAAGGGAATGTTTACGTAAATTTAAATTGTCGTTTTATTTAAAGAACATTTACTTTTTACTCTGCAACTCCTAAATCTATGGAAGAATCTTTCTCGAAAAAAATAAGAACTCAGTAGACTCTTATTTTTTAAGCAAAATTTTTCATTTATCAATATGTCCAAAGTAACTGAGTTTTTGTCACAAACTCTACTTTTCTAATCTCTATATCTTTGCTACCCAATGTCGTATACTTATGATATGTCAAACTATGAATTCTGTTAGACCAAATAATCAAAGTTTGAAATATCAAAGGTTTACATCATCAGATTGTAAAGATATAGAGTTAGACAATTTGAGTTTGTGACAAAAACTCAGTTACTTTGTAAATCTATAAAGTACATAATCTTAATTAAATCGTTTCTTACATTTGAATCCCCTTTTGTACAATCCTATTCTTACTTCATTTAAACTTTTGGATATTTTCTCATCAATACTTTTAATATTTTTCTTCTATAGAATATCTGAACCTGAAAGAGAATAAACTGGGTCGGTTGGATGAGTTTAGTTCAGATCTTAGAAATATCAAGATTCTTGATTTATCAGGGAACCAGATAACCTCTATAGAATCCAGGTATCCCTCCTTACTATCTCCCCCAACTCCCCGTCCTTTTTACGTTTTTGGACTTCTCTAAAGTTCTACAAAATTCTGAGAAATGTTTTAGCTTTACACATTGTGTACTTTTAACATTTAACTTCCTTATTAAATGTCAAATTTAAACTCCGAAAGTTTATATAGGCAAAAATAAAACTTACACAAAACAAAAAAACGACAATTTTTTCTTTCGTTTTGGCCTTAATTTTTAGGATAATTTTGCATAGTTTGATAAAAAAAAACTTTCACAGAATACGATTTAGAAATGTTGAAAACTTTAGAGATTTTTGTGTTGCCTCTTTAGGTCCAAAAATCTTAAATATTAAAAAAACAGACTGCCCATTTCTCTAAAAAAAAAAATTGATAGTGAGATACAACTTTTACAATGTTATTTATTAGTTTTTAGAGTCCATTACGTTACATATCAAGTAATTTAAAGGCACGGAAAAAAGTTTCTTTTTTAAATCCTGAAAATAAGATCTTGGAAAAAGTTGTAATTTTTATCCACTGTAAAATTTTATCTGCATGTTCAAAAACGTGTTCAGAGAATATTCTTGGAGTTCACTTTTCGAATCCCAGAGTTAATTTCAAGATAAAAACAGTTTCACGATTTATCTATAATTCTAGAGTTTTCCAGTCCTTGGGTAATCTACTGAAGCTAGACCTGGCTAGGAATAGAATTGCTCAGATTGATCAACTAGTCTTCCAGAATACAGTCCACTTAAAAAGTAAGTTTTTAAGTCGTTTACTGAGGGACAGATCAATTATGTAAGGTAGTTGAACTGAGTATGCAGTGTTGTGGACAAAGGAATTGAGTTTTTGTCACAAACTCTGATGTTCTTATGCCTATATCTTTGCAGAAAAATGGCGGAGACCTTAGATATTTTTAACTATGTATCATTTTAGATCAAATAATGATAGTTTGAAACATCAAAGGTTTACACCGTCAGGTTGAAAAGATATAGTGATTGTAAAATCATAATTTGTGGCAATAACTCAGTTCCTTTTTTAGGATTCATTTGAGACCTATAAAACTTTTTAAAGATTTTTACTTCCTGAGTTTAAGCGCAAAGTCGACGTTTAAAATTGTACTTTTGGGTGTAACGTTTTCAGAATTGTTTTTTTATCATTATATATTTTATTTTAAGATAGTTTTGTAAAGGTTGTTAATCGTTGATGGAACATGTCATATGATAGTTATATAAAGGTTGTTAATCGTTGATGGAACATGTCATATGATATTTAAGAATCATACATACCACTCTATTTATGGAGGGTCTTTTATGATTATTCACTCCCTTTATGGATATACATCTAATTACATATCCAGTTGGTTAGATATATAAATATATGAGTAGTTGGTTAAATATATATATATATATAAAAATATATATAACTAGGTTTGCTAAAGGACTGCAGTACCTCTAATGTGTAAATATTCTTAAGGAAAAACTATACCTTACTACTCACAATTCTTTGCAGATATCCCCCCCCCCCCACTCTCCCTATCCAATCCTATCATTCTAAGCCAACCCTCTGTTCTTTTATCAATTTAGACACTAGACAGCCTATCTCACTGCACAGACTGCACACTCTACTTTCTTCAACTTGCATTTGAATCCAAGTCAAATGTTAACAAATTTAAACAGTGGTACCCATAAAACTGTGGAATAGGACGACGATGTTTAATAGATCTTTTTTGGTAATTGATGTTGTTATAAAGAAATAGGTTTACCAGGGCTTAGAGGACTGTTTATAAACATATAAAGCAGTAAGGAGCAAGGAAAGTTATTTCAGAGGTGTACGCATTTTTGTACTGCAGTGTACTGTCTTTGGGCGGAAAAGTAAACACAAGACGGATGTCACAGCCTAATATGGGATTCATTTTCACATAAATAATCTATGAAATATTCTGGTCATAGGAAACTATTATGTGAATTTTCAAAATTATCAAAAGTAAATTGCTTTTAAACTCCTCGGATACTTAACGAACACTGATGCATCTATTCTCGGTTACAAGGTCCGCCCAGAAAGAACTGGTTTCCAGATGTACGCAGAGTTTACGCAACTGCAATTAACTTTCCTTGCATTAGTACCTTAGTAAGGGGTAACAATTTGAACGATGTTTATATGACTCCAATCGTTGTATGATCCTACGGTACAAGGATTTACCGGTCTAGTGTAATGCATTCACTCATACCGACCAGTCTAGACAAAAAATCAACCAATGCAACAAATGAAGGCTGGCACAATTTGTGTTTTTGCAAAAAAAAATTGTGATTAGAAAATGTCTTTCAATCTGCGCCCCGTGGAGAAGGAGATTTAATGCTTTTGTGAAATCTTCTTAAAAATTATGTTTTCGTGTTTTTTTTATTCATATTTGTTTAGGTTTAGATATGCGTTCCAATCTTTTGGATAAAGTTCCTGTTGATGCCTTTTCCGTTCTAGAACATTCCTTGGAATCTCTTCATTTCGAAGGTAAGCTTTACTTAATTCCGTTCTTTACTGAAACTAAAATAAACTATGATTTACTAATCCCTATATCTACACAACCTGATCTCCTAATCCCTATATCTACACAACCTGATCTCCTAATCCCTATATCTACACAACCTGATTTACTAATCCCTATATCTACACAACCTGATCTCCTAATCCCTATATCTACACAACCTGATTTATATATATATATATACATATTTCTAAATACTTGGGACATAAAATGTCGTCATCCAACTATGAGTTTGGTCCACTTTAGTATTTATTCACTTTGTATCTACACAACCTGATCTCCTAATCCCTATATCTACACAACCTGATTTACTAATCCCTTTATCTACACAAACTGATTTACTAATCCCTTTATCTACACAACCTGATCTCCTAATCCCTTTATATAAACAACCTGAGATGGAATTTAAAGAATTTGAGCCGGGGTTTAAATCTGCCAAAACCCGGTTTAAATTAAGCGTCGGCTTAAATCTTGAAACATTTAATCCAATTTTAAGTGGAACCAACCATATCTAAGCCGCGGCTTAAATTTAAACCGCCGCTCAAATTCTTTAAATTCGACCTTTGATCTTGTAAAACTTTGATATTTCAAACTTGCACTGTGTGAAACATTAAAGGATTATGACATCAGCTTGCAAAGATATATGGACTACAAAATTTAAGTTCGCGTAACTAATTAGTTCATTTGTTTTTCCTGACATGCTCTTAAATTCTTCAAAACACTGTGATCTATAGATGTCTGAGTACGAGAGTCTGTCTGTTTGTTTGTATCCAATAAACGTCAAAACGGCTAAACTGATCAGGCCAATTTTTTGTGTGACCTCACGTGACCCCAGGGAAGTTTTATGGATTAATGAACTTTTAAGATTTTGCCTCTAACCAAATTAAATTTTTAAAAATTTTAAAATTCCACGAAATTTTTTTATATAAAATCCGCGAGATTTTATTAGTTTTTGTTTTGCAATGTTTACAAAGAGAAAATGTTTACAAAAAGTGGGCGCTAAGCCCCATGTAAGCCTAGTTATATAAATATGTTAAGAGAGAGACAACTCAAAAAATGTTGTTTTGAAAAATCTAGTTATTATAGTAAAAATGTTTGCAAAAAAAGTCCAAGAAATAATATACATTTTTAAAAAGGCCTTGGTTATATCATTTCAAATATGCAAAATTCTTTGCAAATTTTTAATAACCTGATGTGTAATTAAGAAAAACTAGAAATGTGCAAATTTTTTTTGTCTGGTTGTATGCAAATAATTTGCAACATTTCTTTGCAAAACTTGTGTGATCCATTTCCTTATGTCATAGGCAGTTAGTACAAAAGCCCGGTTTTAGACCTAAAGCCTATGGGTATTTAGGAAACTAGCCTTAGAGGGCGCTTCGCGTCCATCTTCTAATTTAATTGTGAACATGTTCTCTTTGTGTACATGAAGATCGAATTTTGATGGAGACAAATATTTGAAATTTTGATCATTCATAAACCTTCCCTGGGGTCCCTAGATGTCCGACAAAAAATTTGGGCCCGATCAGTTCAGTTGTTTTGACGTTTATTGGATACAAACAAACAGACAGACACCCAGACAAGCCAAATTTCTATATAGAAGTCAGATCTGTGTTAAATAAGAATATAAAAGGGAATGTAAAGGAAAATACATATATTCTAGAATATAGTTTTGATCTCTGTTAAATAAGAATATAAAAGTGAAAGTTAAAGAAAATACATATATTCTAGAATATAGTTTTGANAGAGATTAAGAGGAAAAAAATTTTACTGTTTAGATAAGATATTATTAATTCAGATATCGACAAAAATCCCTATCACTGCTGGGAAGAAATTTTAAGGGTAGCATTGTAAATCGTTGATGGAACAATTATGGATGGATTAAGTATTTTCGTTAAATTTAAATAAAAAATTTCTGATTTAAAATCAGACAGAAGAAGGTCAAATTTCAGCAACACTACTGGTACGACTTTGTGACCTCAATCTACTAGTTATGATTTTACGAACAATACAAGCTAATTTATCCAGATATATATATAACAGATTTAAAGCAGTTTTCTTCTTCTCTTTACAGAGAGGAGCTATGATTGAAAACATAAAAAGCATTAAATACCAGCGTGCAATTTACTTTAGTTTAACGTGCACGGGCAGCCGTAGAACATTTGAATTTCCGAGCCGTGTCGACCTTTGTCCCAGTTTGTACTGTATCGCCCGGACATGGGTAAATAAAGCAGACACTCAATAGAACTAGCCGGTGCATCACGGTTGACGCGGTTAGACTTTAGGTTGAATTTACTTTTACTGAAGGGTCAGAGGTGCTTGCGTATAGAAAGTTTTTAACAAACCATTTTTTTAAAGGATGAACGACGCCAACCCCTAGTTTAGCTTTAGTCATTCAATCTAAACTGCTTTTTAATTGGATTTTTAACAAAATGATTCATTGCGTGGGAACCTAATGCAAAAGTTTTACCATTATTGTAAAATAATTGTATACCAAAGTGTGTAAACTATATAATTTTTCATAATACTGTTTTCCTTTCATGAATCTTTTTTTAATATACAAAGTACACACTCGATAAATTTAACAATACATCAATGATGATCAGAAAGATATATAAATATAGATTTTACGGTGGTAGGCGATTATAGCAATATAATGAAGACGACTTTTTCAAAGTTTTAATTGAAAAAGTATTTAAAAAAGTAGTTAATCTCAAAAATGCATTTAATTAGGAGATTACTGGACTAATTTACTTTTAGCTAAAATGTATATAGTTACATTTCATATAGTTACATTTCATATAGTTACATTTCATATGGTTACATTTCATATAGTTACATTTCATATAGTTACATTTCATATAGTTACATTTCATATAGTTACATTTCATATAGTTACATTTCATATAGTTACATATCATATCATGCAAGTACACTTCATGTAATTACACTACTTAATATTACAATTCATTTAGTTAAACTTCATATATAGTTACATTTCACTATGTTACACTTCACATAATTACACTTCATATAAGTACACTTCATGTAATTACACTTCTTAATATTACAATTCATTTAGCTGAACTTCACATATAGTTACATTTCACTATGTTACACTTCATATAATTACACTTCATATAAGTACACTTCATGTAATTACACTTCTTAATATTACAATTCATTTATCTGAACTTCATAATAGTTACATTTCACTATGTTACACTTCATATTATTACGCTTCATATAATTACACTTCATATAAGTACACTTCATGTAATTACACTTCTTAAAATTTCAATACATTTAGTTAAACTTCATATATAGTTAAATTTCATAAAATTAAACTTTATCTATTTACACTTTAGAAAGTTACATCTCATACAATTGCACTTCATTTAGTAGAACTTCATAATGTTACATTTCATATATATATACATTTTATAAAGTTACATTTCATGTTGTTACATTTTATATAATTACTCTTCATATAATTACACTTCATTAAACTAAAGCTTAATATAATTACAATTCATATTGTTAAATATCATTTAATTAAGCTTTATGTAATTACACTTCAAATAAAGTTACATTAAAGTTATATTTCCATAAAGCGTAATTACCTTTTCATATATCAAATTATTTCTACAATTACGTTTTATAGGAAATGTAATCACAACAAAGACAAATATTTAAAATGTACGATTTGTGTAAATATATATAAATAATTTATCAATATATATAATATAATATATAATATATAAAATAGTTAAATCTTGAATCTGAAATACTAAAGGAAAGTTTTGAGATGGAATTCAATAGTTTTGAATAGTTTAATGAAGATATTATTGTTATCCAACCTCAACTCAAGATCAATATCAACATAGAACCGGTTTCCCATTATACTAGAGATTCTCAATTAACCTCAAAGGGACTGTTCACGCCATTTTTAATTTTTCTCGGGTCAATAAAAAAAATGAGTTACCTGTCCGATTCACTTAGTGTTGAAGTTGTCAAATCTTCAAAAGGCTCAGTGTATATGAAACTTTTTTTTTTATCATCATTTATTCACAAAAACTTGTATTCACATATTCAGCCTCTAGAACGTTCTATATATAACATCACAAGTTGATAATTAAACTATAAACAATCAAAATAAAAAAGATTAAGACAGTAAATACTAAATAGCAATTTGTTGTTTAAATATGTCAATAGACTCAATAGTTATTTGTTTAATAATCATAATTAAGATAATTTATCAACTCTTAGACCTAGTGGTTGAGATTATACGGGTAACTTTGTTGCGAGTTTTGCCAGGACTAAAAAACGTATAGCTACTCAAATAAACCTTTACTTGAAAAGAAATACTATATGTACAACATAACAAAACATAATTTTTCCTGTACCATGGATACATTTTATTGTACTTGGGAAGAATTTTTATCCCTGACAAGGCAGGTTAATATTTCTGAAAATCCTGTCTAGTCTAAGCCAAGGATGCAATACAGGTTGCTTCAGAAATATTAAGATCTCCTCTGCATATGCACAGTCCAAACACTATGGTACCGTGAAAAAAAGCGAAATTTTTTTTATTATTTAAAATCTCTTTTTTAAGTGCTTAGATTTGTGCAGCAATGACAATCGGGCATTAGCCTCATGAAATGGAGGTTCACTTAAATTTTCCCTAACTGGGGTATTTACCCCAGTATTCTAGGGGGGGGTATTTACCCCCAGGATTCTTGGGGGGGGGTATTTACCCCCAGGATTCTAGGGGGGGTAAATAACCCTAATAACCCCCCTTATGGCCGCCACTGGTTTTTTTCAATCGTTCGAAAAAAATTATGATTTATTTTCCATCTATTTCGGTTGTTTTCTCAATGCACAATTGTTCAGTAAAATCGTTTGTTTAGTTAAATTGTTTGTTCAATAAAATCGTTTGTTCAATAAATCGTTCTTTTAATAAAGAACTATTGTTTTTTTTTCAAACAAATTTCAAAAAATTTGATCTTTCAATAAAAAATTATCGTTTTTTTATGTACTCGTTAAAAAATGTTTTTTCGTTTTTGAACTATCCATTTTGTTTGTCCATCATTCGTTTTTTTATGAGTGACACCCTTTTCTCACGAAAAATGTAGTTCGTTCAAAAAAAACGATGCCCATCTTTAGTACTCTATCCTCCTTACCTCTTCTCAACATTCTGGTATAGATTACACTAATCCTAAACACTGAAATCTAATACCAATTTGATAAGATGGTTAACCTTAACCCCTTACCCACACTCTTACGAAGTATTATAGACAGATTTCAAATCTGAATTAGAAAATTTTGAACAATATTGTGCAAATAAACAGCATGATATCCATAAGATAAACTTTTGAAAAATATAGCTCTAATCTACAGCTTGATATCCATAAGATAAACTTTTGAAAAATATAGCGCTAATCTCCAGTTTGATATCTACAAGATAAACTTTTGAAAAATATAGCGCTAATCTACAGCTTGATATCCACAAGATAAACTTTTGAATAATATAGCGCTAATCTACAACTTGATATTCACAAGATAAACTTTTGAAAAATATAGCTCTACAGCTTGATAGCCACAAGATAAACTTTTGAAAAATATATCTCTAATCTACAACTTGATATCTACAAGATAAACTTTTGAATAATATAGCGCTAATCTACAACTTGATATTCACAAGATAAACTTTTGAAAAATATAGCTCTACAGCTTGATAGCCACAAGATAAACTTTTGAGAAATATATCTCTAATCTACAGCTTGATAGCCACAAGATAAATTTTTGAATAATATAGCTCTAATCTACAGCTTGATAGCCACAAGATAAACTTTTGAATAATATATCTCTAATCTACAGCTTGATATCCACAAGATTAAAATGAGTGAAGTATCGCATAGTATCTGTTTTTTATACTGTAAATACATTTTTTCTTTGCACTTTATGGACTCATTCATTTCTATTCAAGGCTTCAACTTTTATTAACCTTTAATTGTAATAATATATCTCTAAACGACATTTTGATATTTGCAAGATAAACTTTTAATTTAATAAAGCTTCTTTAAATAGTGAAATAGTATTTTCATGATCTCTCGATCTTGGCCGAGCGCTGATTATTTGCGGCTTCTGATTGCATGGTCGGATATTCAGCCATATTCATAGGAATGTGTTTAATCCATTGCGTGAAAACCTGGATTTGAAGGGATGGTCATTTATAACGTTGAGATTCGTACTTTTAATAAAGTGTTGAAAGAAAGCCAATCATGTATAGTACAAGGATATGATCTGACCGGAACGAAAATAGTAAATCTTTCATAATCCCTGACATTCTGAGATGGCAGTGAAATTACATCGACAGCTGCATTAGTGTTTGCTTACTTTTTATCATTTGTTTGTTTAGATAATCCCCTAGTGTGCTCCTGCCGTACATATCGACATAAACTCTGGTTCAGACAAAACCGGAAATGGATGGACTTGAACAAGAGGAGCAGCAAGGTGACACCCTTCATAAAATAGGGTTTAAAGGGAGTGTTCGGCGTTTTGGGTAATACGTAAGATCCTGTCATTGTTCTGCAGCCTATATTTAAAGGGACTGTACACCCCGGACTAACCAGAGTAAGATGCATTCTGTTGCCTCTCTATTTCAAATCAAACGTGTATTGGTCTATAATTCAACAATCTTTAAATTGAAGAAGTTTTCTATTTTATATTTTTCATTCCAATCGCAAATGACCACAAAAAAAGTACTAAAAATAAGCGAAATATTTATGTTTAATAGGTCAAATTGTGATCGAAAGTCCAAGTTTTTGGGAAAAAGAACAGAACCGTTAAACCCACGTGTGTAGGTACTCGGTAGATGTTTTTTCAAGAGACCCTTTGATTCACAATGGTTTCCTTGAAACCTTTGTCTGACCATTGATCAAGGACTATAGAGATGTTTTCATTTTTCTAGCTAAAAACTTAAGTTTAGATTGAACCATATAGTGCACGAAACCTGAAGACGAGCTGGTATATATTTATTTATCCAGGTTGGACCATAGTGCATGAAACCTGAAAACGAGCTGGTATATATCTAATTATCAAGGTTGCACCACAGTGCATGAAACCTGTAAATAAGCTGGTATATATCTAATGATCTAGGTTGGACCACAGTGCATGAAACCTGAGAACGAGCGGGTATATATTTGATTATCTAGGTTGGACCACAGTGCATGAAACCTGTAAATAAGCTGGTAAATATCTAATGATCTAGGTTGCACCACAGTGCATGAAACCTGAGAACGAGCGGGTATATATCTAATGATTTAGGTTATTAGAATGTATTTCACGCATCTCTGCCCCTTTAGTCTATGTTTTACTGCCCCGAAGAGAATTAAAGTTGTATTACAAAGTTCTAACACTTCAGACAATTCATAAACTTTTTCATTTATTTTTTATCAATTATGATAACAAAAACTTTGATATAGTGTCATAGAAAGTTTTCAGCAGTTTTGAGTTTTTAGATTTATTTCTGTAATCAAATATTTCTGTAATCAAATGCATTGTATCAGTCCAAATCTGTAAAATTAAATGGTTTATATTTTTATAATTGTCTTCGTGCAGGGGCGGGGCGTAACCTCCCCCTGAGATTTTCAGAAGAGCTTCTCAATAGCACTTAAGGGAAAGAAACTGTAGTGCAAATCCGGAAAAATATCTATCTTAATAAACTATAATGTGTGATAAGTTAAAAATCTAGTTTTTTAGTCTTTAGTCATTAATTTGACTCTTTTTGAGTCTTTTAAGTCAAAAAAAAATGCTCGCGTGCGGTGCGTCTCTTTGGTCCTAAATCGGGATTTTTTGTTTCAAATAAATCTTCTCCCCCATCCCCATGTTGAATATGAGCGTCTGAAAGCCTAATATAAAAAGTAATGTAGATAGTGCACCCTGGATTTACAATAATCCAGGTTCAAGATAAGATAGAAAACTATTTTACTATCAACAATTTTAAAACACATAATCACACTTTTTCTAAATAAAAAAACGTAGGCGACGAAAAATCTACATTTCTGTTTTTTATTTTTTCGTTGTCAGATTTTGCAGAATTTCTATTTAGCGGAACAATTTCACATTTATAAATATCAAAACTGCACCATTTTGATAACTTCTTGTACATTCAGTTTTTTCAACTTTATGAAACACGCAAATCGGAAATTGTCTTTTTTACGTTCTAATTATATGAAACCGTGGCTTGAAATGAGATCAAGAAATGACAACAAATATTTAGGGGAAAAGTTATTGAAATTAATTTAAAATAAGTTATTATTAAACGCATTTTCCTCTAACCTTAAAAGGACAACTGTTATCTATTTCCTTAAATCAAATTCTTTAATTACATGAAAATCATATTTTACCTGTACCCCCCCCCCCCCTCCAACAAACCAACCCACCAACCTTATTTCCTATAACATAGAATGAGAATTGGAAATACTTAACTTGGAATATATAATCTAAACTTAGAACATCAAGTGCCAGGGTAAACCACCCACCATTACATTAAACCCACAACACAGGCAACTCCGGTACAGTACAATTTAATTTGTTTCTATGCAGTGGCCGGGCCGGTATAATTTTATCGGACACGTTACCACCTGGCCTGTACAATTTCATCTGCCATAAAACACTGAAAATTTAATTTCAAGTACTGGCACGACTTGAAGGCACCTAGAGGCAGCTAGAGGAAGTTGTGTACAGTTAAACCACAGACTAAAGAGGGCAAAACCGGGCCGGGCGGTACAGTTTCATATGCCACTAAATGTTGGGCAGGAAAAGACGAGTTTTTTTATTGTCTCTTATTTGTTAATGTTCGTGATAAACACTTTAGGATTCTGAACTGTGCCCGCTTCCATCTGTGAACAGTTTCCACGTCAGGTAGATAATAAATATTTTATCCTTGTAAATTTTTCATCCCGGCTGAAATGTTTTATTTCGGATAGCCCGGGAAAAAATAAAGTTTAGGATAAAATAATAATATTTTTAGTATAATATGGGAAACCAAGAAATACATGTTTGATATTTTCATTTGGCAAATATTCAAAAATGTTTTTGTTTTTTTTATTGTGTCGCAAAACAACAGAAAGAAATGCGTCTAATCTGTCATATCACGGCAAACTAAAGTAAATCGTGCTTAAAATTGATATCTTATATGTTTTCAAGCATCACTACTGTAATTGTTGAGATATTGAAGAACAAAATGTATTAAATTTATAATATGTAATAGAATGTATTTCACGCATCTCTGCCCCTTTAGTAAAAGTAATCAACCTAAAGTCTGACCGCGTCAACCTTGTTGCACTGGCTAGTCCTATTGAGTGTCTGCTTCATTAACCCAATGTTCGGGCGATACAGTACAAACTGGGACATAGGTTGACCCGGCTCGGAAATTCAAATCTACATACTTGTGCTTAAAATCAGCAATGATGCATAAATTTGACCTTCTCCTGATGTCTATAGTTGAATTTGATAATGCCCTTTTAACAATATATACAATGGATTAACAATTAAAAAGTTCCGAACTTTAGAATTGAAGACGATTTTTATTTTAAGTGCGGGTAAACTTTATATTTGAAATTGTTGTGAAGTATTTAAATAATTTCAGGTCTACTATGAAGTTTAAATATTCTTTTTAATAGAAATTCATTTCAATTCAATTTACTCCGTTTGAGGAAATAATGAAATATGTTTATTCTGTGGGGAGTCAGGTCCCACGGGCCTAATTCTAATGATCTGAGCGCTATTTTTTTAATTTTCGATATTTAAAAACTTTTATAATTACACATTTCTTTGTAATATCTTATTTGAGAATCATTGCTTGTATTTCGAAAAAATTGAGATAAATATTATATACATCAGATACATTTAAACCTCACAAACCTTTTTAACCTGATGGTGTTATTTGATCTAAAAGAATTCATAGTTTGAAGTATCTAAGGTCTATGAAATTTGACTAGATTAGAGAATTTGAGTTTGAGTTAAAAGCGTAAATTATATATCCAAAAAAAATTTTTAAACGTTAAAACAATTTTAAAGCGAGCAACATTTGAATGTTTTTTTTCTAATGTTAAAGCATTTAATTTTGATAATTTTGAAAATTAAATAATAGTTTACTATGACCAGAATATTTCATAGATTATTTTTGGTGAAAATGATTCCATGCCAGGCTGTGACATCCATCTTGTGTTTACTTTTCCGGCCAAAGACAGTACACTGAGTACAATAAATGCGTACACCTCTGAAATAGCTTTCCTTGCATTAGTACCTTAGTAGTTCCTATGGTTTTTATTTTCGGCATAAGTATGAGAAAGCTAATTTATTTGGTTTCAAATCAGAAATTTAAAACATGTCAATTTAAACATATTTATTATTTAATAAAATATAACTTCTAATTAGAAATGTGACGACAAGTTCAGTGTTAATTGCCTGGGATAGTAAAGATAGTAATATGACAGGATTAAAAGGTAAATAAAAATATATTTTAAACAATTTAAAAAATTTCAGTTAACCCACAATGTGAATGTGGCTGCATGTCCGATTCACAACGGTACCCTCCCAATCTTCATCTGAGTACTAAAAGTATTTAATTCTGACTTTTATTTTATTGTTTCTGCCACAAGGCACATAAACAACGAAAATAATCTATTTTCAGAATGTCAAACAAAAGGATATCCTTTATCAGCCAAAATTGAGGTTTCAGCTTCAGTCCCTTTACGAATTTAGAACAGTTTTTCTTTATTACTGATTTTCTCCAGGTTTTAAAGATATTCAAACAAAAATATTCCATCCTATCACATATATGGGTTTTCCTCAATATTTTCCATTTCCTATAATAAGTATATTTGGTGTTCAGGATAGATGACAGATAGATAGATAGATAAATAGATAGATAGATAGATAGATAGATAGATAGATAGATAGATAGATAGATAGATAGATAGATAGATAGATAGATAGATAGATAGATAGATAGATAGATAGATAGATAGATAGATAGATAGATAGATAGATAAAAAATTTAAAAAGCTGATTCTTGAGTCTGGGGCACCTTCCTTTGATAGAATAAAAAGAGACTAAAAAAAGAGATAGATGTAGTTTCATTCCATTCTTTCAGCAACATTATTAACCTATTAAACTTTTCAATAATAATTACTAAGTATATTTAATTGTTTGGTTGATAATATTAATAGGTCTAAATACTAATAACTATTGATAACACTGTTATTTTGGTTCGCAGTGATATGAAGTTTTTGGACAGAAATTTTCTCTTTATCGAGAAGGCGAGAACCTTCGAGATACAGTGAAAATTTAAGTCCAAATACTTTATTGCACGTTGTTCCAAATAATAGTGTCATAGGTAATTTTGTGGCGCCCCTGGATTCCTGGAATGCAGTACACAGCATATTCCATACTTCACATGTTATTGTTTAGATTATGATATACTGCATCTAGTATACCTCTGGTTCCACAGTTGCCTCCCCAACGTGGAAGACCTCCGTTGGCTCCGGCTCCGTTGGCTCCAGCTCCGTTGGCTCCGGCTCCGTTGGCTCCGGCTCCAACCTCTCCAGCACCTCTCCAGAGAGCCCAGAGAATGAAGAAGAGAGTTAGATTCTCACCTCAACAGCCTTCTCCTCTCCCAGTTCGACGGAACCCTCGAAGAGAAGTCTGAGATAAACATCGAGCTCTTCATAAACTTCATCACCTCGATGCTGGGGGGACCCCTGTGGCGCCCCTGGATTCCTGGAATGCAGTACACAGCATATTCCATACTTCACATGTTATTGTTTAGATTATGATATACTGCATCTAGTATAAGTACTGTTTTTGATAAATATATATTCAGTCAGTTTATTTGATCTTATTCATTTGGTCTTATTCATTTGGTCTTATTCCTTTCGTCGCTACAATTTTATGAAACTTTTGTGTCTTATTTCAATGAATGTTTCTAGATCAAATAAGCTTTGAAACAAAGCAGAAGTCAAAATATAAAGTCGATTTCAATTTTATTTTCATTTCAATTGAAAAAATATTTTGGAAATATCCTAAATTTTTTGGTGAAAATCCGAGAACCAATCAAAACTTTATAGCACACGTGCTATAATGTACAGCTTTTTTAACATTTTAGCAACGATGATTACTTTATAGCACATTCATTATGAAGTGAGTAATAATGATAAAGTACACAACAGTTTCATAAAATATTGAATTTATAATAAAGAATAGATAAAAGTGACTAATTAAAATATAAAGTCATGACAAAAAATATAGAATGTAAAGAAAAATGGATAACATTAGGATAGAGAAAGAGATAATAGATATAAAAGCCACTCTCTAGTATGTCGAGTCCATTAGCGACTGATCCATTCAGGGTTCAGTCATGTGTTTGTTGTCTATTCTGAACCAATAGAAATAGTATGGTGGTAACATCTATATTTCTATCTCATTATCCAATTAGAGATATGAATCCTTCAATCGGTGCTATCAGTATATAACGTTATAACGTTATGACAAAGAAAAGATACAGAATATAAATAAGAGTGGATAAAATTAGGATAGAGAAAGAGTTAATAGATATGAAAGTGTGTATGAAAGATAGAGAACGGGAAGGATGGGATTGTAACAGAGGGAAATAATGGATAGATAATGGGATATAAATATTGTTATTAACAGGATAAAAAGGAAATTTGGCAAACCTTGATTTCTGAATAAATAGATTTGGTTTATTTACAAGATTGGGTTCAAAGGTTTGCCAACAAAATTTTAGATGACTTTTCAATTAAAAAAGTGCCATAGATGATTGACAGAAAAACTTTTAAGCATGACTGAAGCCACAAGCCATGTTCAGTGCTTTGAGTCTAAAAAGGTTTTATTATCTATATCTTAGAGCTGTGTAGTGAGGATGGAGGGTGTATGGGNCATTATTTTATCATTTTTATCATTATTTTATCATTTTTCATCATTATTTTATCATTTTTTATCATTATTTTATCATTTTTTATCATTATTTTATATTTCAATCAGTATTTTATCAATTTCATTAAATACTGCTGACTTGTAAACAGGATATTTAAGGAAAATATAAAGAGAATATTTTATAAAAAACGTAAGAAAAAGGAAAACATTTTGTAAACACAATTGACTATCTGTAATTTTCAGGTTATCCAATGAAATTTGACATGCTGATAGACTCCAAAATATTATTGATCTTTGAAATATTCTGCAGCATTCATTTGTCAAACCATTTTATAACTTATACAAGCATGATTTGTTGAAACGATAATCACAAAATTTGCCCTAATCATGAAATTTTGAAAAATGATGCCTCTTTTTTTCAGTTTCCAAATTAGCAGGGATAAAAAGATTGCCGAAACCGAAATCTGGTTTATCACATTCCCGTGGTTCTTCTGAGTTTCCCATTAAACATTTTAGGTTAATTGGTGCCGGGGGTTCCTGAGTTATGATCGGAGATATCCTTTAGAACAGAATATTCCTTAAATATGGTCCTCCTTATTCAACTTGTTCTGTGTATACTGGACTAAGGACATTCAATACCATTAATACTCTTCCCTAGAATATAATCCCTACAGTCAATTCATTCCCCCCTCCCCATATTTGCACTAATACCCCACCCCCCCAGCAGTCNCATGACTTCATTCTTTTTACAATTTGTTTTACTTTAGGTTTTCTTTTGGCATATCACAGGTTTAAAGGGATTGAAAATTGAATGAAACCATTTCTTTAACATTTTCATGACTTCATTCTTTTTACAATTTGTTTTACTTTAGGTTTTCTTTTGCCATATCACAGGTTTAAAGGGATTGAAAATTGAATGAAGCCATTTCTTTAACATTTTCATGACTTCATTATTTTTACATTTTGTTTTACTTTAGGTTTTCTTGTTGCATATCACAGGCTTGATCAGAACGATGTGGTTAAAAAATATAAGGTTAGCGACATTTTTCATCGTCTTATCTCAATTTTATATATTATCATAAATATCCGTTTCAAAATCACCTTTATTTTATCATTTTTTATCGTTATTTTATCATTTTTACCATTATTTTATCATTTTTTATCATTATTTTATCATTTTTTATCATTATTTTATCATTTTTTATCATTATTTTATCATTTTTATCATTATTTTATCATTTTTGATCATTATTTTATCATTTTTTATCATTATTTTATATTTCAATCAGTATTTTATCAATATTCATAATTATCAAGAATTACAACCATCCTTAAAATCATTGTTATTATCATCATTATTTTCATCATCATCATATTAGTTATCATAAGTCTTAGTATCATGATTATCATTATTGTTACCATCAGTATTATTATCATAATTATCATTAATATTATCATCAAAATCACAATCATTATTAGCATCATCAATAATATTATCATTAAAATCACTATCATCAGCATTGGCACTATCAATACTAACATTTATTGTCACTATAACATAATAACATATAACATATAACATAATTATCATTCGTATTAAAACTAAACTTAATAATCATTATAAACTGTTTATAAGAGATGATAAATTTTCTAAATAAAAGAATAAATGTATGGCCAATCTCATCGAGAGTAAGCAACCTTATTATACAACCTTGATTTCCACTTGTTGAATTATTAAAGGTGAACCCAACTACCCGAATGTTCCGACTGTACAATTTGATGGATGACAGTGTGTATCTAGTTTGTATAATTACACAGGAACCTAACCAATCAATCAATCACAGAAATCTACAGAAAGTTCCACTAAACATGACAAACTTAAAAATCGTCATTGATATGAATATATATGTATACAGTGAGAACCAGAAAACAATGGAATAAGAAGACGACATTATATCAAAACATTAGTGTACTTGATGTTGTTACAAAGCAAATATGTTTACTAGACACTAATTTAATAACATGTTTAGTGGAATGGGCCTGTCAACATTGCATAATTGTTGTATCTCATGTTCATTGGCCTATTTTAAAGTCATAACTTGATTCTTAAAGTCGTCTTCCTATTTCAGAGTTTTCTGGTTATCACTGTATCATAATAGAAGGGGTTTATTAAAAAAGACAAAAGTTAAAAGACTTAAAAAAATTTCGTTTTTCAGGGGTTACCACATTATTATTGATATTTTTTTTATAATTTTTTTGTTCTCATCTATAATGCTAAGGCGATTTTAAATTAAGTGTCTCTTAAGTTATTATAATAGATGTGGTAAATTTCTACACATTATTATAAAGATGTCTTATTTTTTGTAAAAATCAACCTTAAAAAATGTAATTGACANATAATATATTTGCCTTTTATTCTGTATGTCCCACCCTAATTATGCTAATTACGCTAATTAGTATAATTAGTTATGTAATAAACCTCGCCTTATCTTAATACATAAATATTGTCACCAGCTTCAGACACAGATATATTAATCATTGCACAGTTCTTAATCATTTTGGCAGACTTATAAATGTAAAATAATGTCAAACTGTTGAATCTTAAATTCGCATCTGTCGACGCTGTAAACCTATCTGATTTTTTTCTTAATTACAGATTGTAATTTAAAAGTCTGCACTGGTGATATCGAGTTCAGTCCGAACACATATGTGTCACACGTTTCGTTCGCTGGATCTGTCACTGTGATCTTGCCAGGCTACGTTTGTTGCATAAAAAAGGCTGGGTCGACCCTTCACCGGGTAGTCCAGACTAACGGTACGACAGAATGCATATACGGTACATGTTGTACCGGCTCGGATCATGCCAATTTCATATTGGGGTGACGTGTCACAAAACAATAATAGTTTTAACACTTTTAATTGATTCAAGAAATCTATATATAGAAAGTAGTAATCTCTGTTTGTTTGTTTGAATGACCGATCATAACGTAGAAACCCATGGACCGATTTGTTTAAAATTTTGATTGGGGAACTCGGGAGAATCATGGGACTGTTTTGAGATTCTGATTTGAGTGGGTCGATTTTTTTAGAATTTTATAGCTGAAATCGTATTTTAAGACCAAGCGCGGGTAAACGGCGGGAGTAACTATGAGTAACCTGGGCTTTTTAAAGTTTGTTTCTAGTATCTTATAGGTATAAAATTGATCTTTTCATTGATTGATTGATTGATTGGTAAAGGGGAGCTCGTACACTGATTATGATTATGTGGATGATTATGGGGAACTACTTCGTCTTGAAAGAGATGTTGATGATACTCTGGAGGAATAGACAATGTTTCAAAAATAAACATATTTAGAACTTTCATTCAACTTTTTAAAGGAAAAAATATACAAATTGCAGAAAAAATGATGAAACAAAAATTTACATACTTTGCTTTTGCTTGTAATAAAAACTTAAATAGTTAAATTAAACCAAAAAAACGGAAAAAAACATTGTTCCATTGTTTAGCTGGATGTACCATACTCGGACCAACGAGTCCTCTCATACGAAGGAAAGTTGGACAAATTAAAATATTTATAGATGTTTAACCTCCTTTTACTTTAGGTTTTCTTGTTGCATATCACAGGCTTGATCAGAACGATGTGGTTAAAAAATATAAGGTTAGCGACATTTTTCATCGTCTTATCTCAATTTTATATATTATCATAAATATCCGTTTCAAAATCACCTTTATTTTATCATTTTTTATCGTTATTNCCATTTTCCATTTTCTTTGTAAAATCTGATTTACGGTTATGCCAGAAAAGTTGTTAAAGAGATTTCGGAGCCAAAATAGTTAAACTTTGAGCCTCATTCTCAGCTCAGAGCCTGCCAAGGAACTCGGCTAGTAAAACATTCAAATTTGGCAAATATTACAGTTAAAACTGCACTGAAAACTTACTACAAAATACTAAAAGTTTCAATTAAGCATTTGTTTTATATTTTACGCCACTTCATTTAATGTATAGTTTTACCAGTCATTGCACTTTAGAATTAAGGTAATTTTCATGTAAGATTTGTTCTCAATTTTAACTCATCTTACTGTATAGTATAGTTTTTGAATTTTCATCATGTAACCAAATAGATTTCTTTTTTACATTTACTTATAGAAGAGCTAAAAAGGTCACAAAGTTGTACCAGTACATTTGACCCTCTCCTTTTTCTAGTTTACTGTTTCTTATTTAGTGATACAAATGTGTTCTAAGGAAATGTTAAAAATGGTTAAAACCCCTTTTATGAAATTTTGCAAAAAAATATTTTTTAATAAAAAATACTTGCTTTAATGGTTTAAATTACCCTCTCCCAACTATCAAATCAAAAAAAAATTAAGTTATATTAAGACAGGCTCTAGACTTTTTCAAAATTATTTTGATCACTTTTTCTCTAATTAAACCACATCTCGAGAAAGGTTTTGAAAGAAGAAATTCAATAAAAACTTAATTTTACTGTAGAAAAGAAACGAGAGTTTTTTCCATCTCTTAACAACAATATAATTCTGTTCACAAGGTTTTCCTTAATTATTTAAGAAATAAAATTATTTTTATATTTATTTTTTTTGTATTTAAGGGACTGTAGCGTAATTTCAAGTGACCCTCCACGCAAAGATGACAATGCTCGAAACACAACGGTTTCCCTTGAAACTTTAATCTGATCAATGTGTGTATAAGGTATCACACACACTTCCCTCTATCTACTCAGGAACAGTCCCTTAGGATAATCGATAAGAAAGGAAGGATAATCTAAACTCCACTCTAGCTCTCTATCTTCAGGGAAAACTCTGTAAATCCAATATCTTGCAATGTTCAGAAAACAAGTAGAATCAATCTGAGTATCTGCCTCTACTCTAATATAGACCAACAGTCTCTCTGTAGTAAGGACTCTCTCTCTATCAATATGAAATCTTGGATAATTGCGCACCCTGGAATATTTCAAAGTTTAATTCCCTAGATCCATTCTCATATATTTCTCGGAGCCGGAAATTTAAGACAGTGTTGAGTGTAGATGTAAGAACCATCTAATATGGTTCATAAGATTTAATCTCAGGGACAGAAAACCCCCACCCATTTTCAAACATGTGGGAGTTCATTTTTAGTGATTTATTTTTAAAGTGAAAAACAAGACTTTTTCATGCTTCCGGCCGTATGGTCTTATTTAAAGTTTTTCCTCAGTAAAACAAGTGTAAAAAATGAAATTAACCTCTTTCCTTGTGTATATACTTATGCCATGCCCCTTTCATAAAACTTAGTTTGAGATACCCGGTTTCAAACTGATATCTTGTCTCAAGTTTCCGGCTCTGGGTCCCCTGAGTAAACCTATTCTTAACTCTGAACTCCGGAAATGAAGTAGACTAGTCTCTAGGTTTAAAGGGATTGAAAATTGAATGAAACCATTTCTTTAACATTTTCATGACTTCATTCTTTTTACAATTTGTTTTACTTTAGGTTTTCTTTTTAAGTAAGCATGAGTGCAGGCGGGTTTAAAGTCCGAGGTGACTTGCTACGTGACTTTAGCATGCTACGTGATTTTAGCCTGCTACGTGACTTATCATATTTGAATCCAAGGCCCCTCTCAGAATCATGAGTCCGCATAATGACCCTATATGCTGATACTCTACATCCCCCTCAAGTTTTTATTTTGACATCCTCCCCAAAATATAAAACTTCCCCCCCAAGGCAACCCCTTAGTAAAGAGAAAATCCCTAGTTAAAGAAATCTGCGTCCTGACGGTGCCTGGAAGGATACATTGGGTGCTGGAGTAGTTAAAAGAGGGGCGGTGGTTTTTCGCCCTAGGTGTTTGCAGCGGTAGTTCCTCTGTTCTTTGTCTCCTTCTCTTCATCTTCTGGAGGGTTTCTGAGGCTCCGCAACAGGTTGTCAGAATAATGGCAAGGGCCATTGCTGGTCCCCCCTGCAAATAGGCCATTACCATGACCGTTAGGTGAACCATCATCCTCACGGCCATAATCGCCAATACCAAGGCGGCCATATAATCTCCATACTTGCGGATCGCTGCATCTATCCTGGACAAGATGTTCGTCTCTTCGTAGATCTTTGTCAACCCGGTCAAGTCATACCTTGTGATTGAATCACTCACTCCGGCTATACATGCATCAGTTTCTAGGCAACTCCCTATTGTTACCGATTTCAGTAAAGCCTGATGGTAAGCAGGATATTCCAGGATTTGCTCCCATTCTCTCTGCTCGGCTTCAGTATAGGGTCCACTAACAGCCATATCAATATGGTTGATATCATTATCTTGCTCTAAGAATACTTGCTCAGGGGCGGCTACTGGCACTAGGGTTGGCGTAATTGCTACCCATGTATTGTTAGCAACTCGAAGGGTAATTGGGAACTTCTTTGAACAGGGTAGCTGTGTGGCATGCTGCGTTCTCATTTTTGTAATCGGATCTACCCATACCTCTCCATTGGTATCCATCGGAATCTTGTCATGGCAGGTGGTTAGTTCAGCGATGGCACCTCTTTTCTGAACACACGAAAGTACAAATAGGACGTCTCCTCTTCGGTAAGCGTACTGTCCATTTGGTAAAACCTGTGGTGTATCCTCTGAACTGGACACTGTCTTCTGACAGATAGAATACTTCAGCATATCCTGAACCGACTGCATTCTCCTTTCCAACCGGTACGCTAGATAGTCCTCCCTCACTCGCTCCTGTACTGATAGATGTAAATCTGCTGGGTGTAATGACGGCCAGTTGGCTGCATCTGCTAACTCCACCACAAACAATTCCGGGTAGTTGGTAGATAACAACTTGACACTCCCGCACTCCTGGGGTGCTATCGTTACTCCTGTTATATTGAGCAAAATAGCCTTTTTTTCGTCTACTAGGTAGGTCCCCATGGTACGCGTCCCTGTGAATACTTGTATCTTCTCCAACGTGCAGGTGGGAACGTAATCAAAGATATAGGTTCCATCTCCAGTCTCACAACCCCCTGAATTTAGCTTGCATGGCAGCTCCAGATGATCACTCTTACTTTCTACCATCTGACCTTGCGCCACAAAATCCTCAGATTCGACCAGTACGGAGTACTCTACCAGTTCCATCAAATCATCCACTAGGCCATTCGCAGTGCGCATGGTCTCACCCTTACAGCCCACCTTATCATCCGCTACCTTCAACTCTCCTGCTGCTGCTATTTGAACAAACATAGTTTGATCGATAACCACATTGAATAACTGGTTTGAACCTGGAGGTTGGAAATGCCTCTGGGTGCTAAGTAACCTGCACCAATCTGTGGATACCAGTACGTCATGCTGAATGGTAGGAACCTTGGCCACCTTGAGGTGCGAAAAGGATCCACAATAGTATCGGAACCGGCTCTCCTTGATTCGGCATCTAAACCCCTTGAGACGGGTGACCGTCCTTGGTTGCACTAGGTACATCTTCTTGCTGGAGCTAGATTGTTCCGTAGCTGGACTGCATACGTTCACATCTACTCTTCTGATCTTAGACGGGTTTACACAATCAATATAATCTAGCATGAATGATTTACATGCCGGTACTACCAAACCCAGAATCACAACGAACTGAGCTAGGTAGTTCATCTTGTTGCTTGAATTTAACTCGAAACACTGGCAAAAACAATCCTTGGCAAATCCTCTGACCCTTTTTCACCTGAAAGGGTTTGTCCGACCAATTCAACAACAATGCTTGTATTTCTCCTCGGTAGTCAGAATCCACTACACCTCCTATCACCATCAGTCCTTGACTGGCCAGCCCACTCCGCGATGCCAACTGTAGATAGTATCCGGCGGGTACTGCTATCCTCAGGTTCAGCGGGACTGGCGTGACTCTCCCCGGTCCGAGTTGCACATTGGCTGCTGCACTTAGGTCATACCCTGCGGCCCCGTCCGACTGCTGCACTGGCTGCCTGCTGCCCTTTTTGATCAAAACTTCTAATACACTATTGGCTGATATCGTCGCCATCTCATCCCCCGACGAATCAGATGAGACTGCCAGCTGTCTGGCAGCTTCCAACAGCTTCCTGCGTCGTGACATTGGCTTGTCACCCTCAGACTCTGGTCCCGGTACGGAAGGCTCACGCGTCCTCTTGGTGGGCCGGGTCTCCTCAGTCATTTCTGCTTCTGCAGGCAGGTCCCCCTCTGCCTGCAACCCCACTGCGGGTGCAGCGCTCTCCCCACTCTCCATTGGTTCGGGCTCCGGCGCTGCTCGTCCCTCATTGGGCGATATTACTTGATCAGTCACCTCCGTGGGTAACGGCATGGGTCTCACTTGCTCCTCTACTGGGTCCCTCCGGGCATCTGGAAGGTTCTGGATTTCTAGTCCTGCTCCACCGCCATAGACCGGTACTGCTAACTCCGGTCCTCGCCGACTGCGCTCTGATATCTCCTCACCTTCCAAGTCATCCATGTCTGCATCTACCGTATCTCTCATCACGGTCCTGGCGTTGGCTTGGTACTTCTTCAGGCGGGTCACATGCACCCTCAATGTTTTTCCTTCTGTTCCTGATGGACAAATGTCTACTAATACCTCAG